AATAACAATGTGATAGACATCATGATGACACTAACATTGAATATGAATAAGAATGTGGGCTCTGAAGTAATTAGACCCTACGTCTGAGTCTCAGCTCTGCCTTATTTCCTGATCCATAAAATGAGGATGAAAATAAATAAAATCTCCCTTATAAACTTATTATGAGAGTTAAATGAGATGAAGCATATAGAAGCTTGGCATAGTGCTTAGCACATAGCAAATATTCAGAAACAGTTATTTTTTATTATTGCATTATTATCTCTCAAACTTCTAACTTCTATTTATATCAGTTGATTCAGATGAAAATAAAAGAAATAACCCAAAGAAATCTAGGTAGCATCTATAAAACTGTGAAGTTGCGGAATAAAAACTTTACATCCTGGAGGTATAGTTATTATATTCATCACTTTTTATTACTAGTAATTGGGATACTGGAGAAGAAAAATAAATGTAAGAAGCCCAGAAAATATTTAAGGATGGACTATATATTTTGGTAAGAGAATAATTCAGATAAGGGAATGAGAAACTAGGAACTAAAAATGGAATGAATATGAGACCTGGGAAGAAAATGCTTGCCCAGACAGGAATCAATACAAGTTAGTACTGTGTAGAAGGTGCTATGTTTTGTCTGAGTGCAGTACAATCCTAACAATAGGAACAATAATACAGCAATGACAGTAGCAGCAGTAACTAATACTCACACAGTTCACACTAACCATGTGTCAGTTACTGTTCTAAATGCATGGTGTATAAACTCACTTAACCTATTAATTCTTAGAAGAAATCACTTAAGCTTAAGAGTCCTATAGATCTGGACTTAAATCCCAGCCCTGTCATTAAGGATCAAACATGTTACTTCACTTCTCTGAGTTTTAGTTTCCTCATCTCTAACCGAGAGTGAGAATACCTAACCCACAGGAATAATATGAGGATTATCTGAGCCTATAAACATAAAGAACTGATCTGTGTGCCTGACAAGATAACAGAAACCCTGTATAAGTATCTTTATCATTGCTGTTAATATTAAAACTATTAATTTTTAGGACCGAAAACATCAATCTGAAGACACACAGACTAACGTTTTGAAAGGGGGAACTATTGTCTTCCTTCCTAAGTTCTTCTTCAAGCTCCTTGAAAAATTATAAAGCATTCTATGATATTAAGCTTTTCTCAGAATGAACTACACATGGATAAGAAGGATATTATAAAGAAATAAACTTAGTCTAGTTTTAAAGTTGTTTTTTTTTTTCCCACTAGGAACAGCAGTGGTGAAAATACTACAGCTCCTTAAAGTAAATAGTGCTGAAAAGAATGACAATGGCATATGGCTGGGGGAATATTCCAAAGAGACTACTCTATGCAGCCATCCCCTGTTCTTTTCTCTGCCTTTTAAGGTCATGGTAACATGATAGAAAAATCTGGGACTCACACCATCTGTCTAGACAGTTCTATCACTGCTCATTTCTCTTGTTAAATAATCAGTACACTTCACACTTCCCAAACACTGCTACTATAAAGAGCATTTAAAGCAGAATGAGAAAAGCTTTTTCTATCCAGAAATATAGTGGTTAGAAATGAACAGTTCTTTGGAGGCTTACGGGTTTCAGATCATGTCAGTGAGGAGAAAGAAATGCAAGCTTTACAAAGAAATGCGAGAATAAAGAACTATAATACTAGTTCTAGGAATTATCCTTCTTAGAAAAAAGGTGAAATTCTCATATGAGTTCTCTATGAATAGATGTGGCAGTTTAACATTGAGATAATTATACAGGTTTCTGTGAATTTTCATAAGACTAAGAAGAGGACCTGCTTTTCCTTTACTAGTAGTAATAGCAGTAATAATAACAGTAGCTGATAATTACTTAGCACTCAGGATATGCTTAATACTGTTCAAAATGCTTTTTGCATATTAACTCACTTAATCCTTAAAACCGTTCAATGTAGTGTTTTCTATTATTATTCCCAATCTACACTTGAGGAAACTTAGGTACAGAGAGGTTACATAACTTGTCCAATATAAAATAGCTGGGAAAATGTAGATCTGGGATTCAAAGGTATGCAGCAGTCTGCATACCTTTCATTTCTACACTATCTTATAGGGTTTTGCTTTTAAGCCTCTAAATTATACATTTCAACTTGACATTTTTATCATATTTTAAATAAGCAAACGGTGGCTGAATGTTAAAATACTACCTCTACTCACCTAGCCAGAGAACATCAATTATATATTAACTTACTAATTTTTGCCATACTCAGCATGGTGTTTGTTGTCATAAGCAAAACAATTTTTTATACTGAATAAAAGTTTCAAGAACATGCTCTGGAGTCTGTGTCAATTTGGGTATACTTTATGAGTTTGAGAAAGAAGTTTGGGTTACTCTCAGTCCTCCTGTAAAAGTTTCAGTTTTCATGAAGACTATTTGCCTTCAAATAAAGACTGAGTGGGAGGAAAACTGGACCTCCGCATGCAAAAAAAAAAAATGAAACTAGACCACTAACTCTCACTGTGCACAAAAATCAACTCAAAAGGGATGAAAGAACTGGACATAAGACCTGAAACCATAAAATATATAGAAGAAAATATAGGTAAAACACTACAAGACATACATCTCAGAAACATCTTTAAAGAATCATCACCCAAAGCAGTGATAGTGACGGCAAAGATGAACACCTGGGATTACATCAAACTGAAAAGCTTCTGTACAGCAAGAGAGACATTAACCAGAACAGAGAGATACCCACTGACTGGGAAAAAATCTTTGCACTCCATTCAACTGATAAGGGTCTAATCACAAAGATATACAAAGAACTCACACAGCTCAACAAAAACAAAATAAACAATCCAGTCAAGAAATGGGCAGAAGAACTCAAAAGACAATTCTCCAAAGAGGAAATGCAAATGGCCAACAGGCATATGAAAAAATGTTCAACATCCCATATAATCAGGGAAATGCGAATCAAAACCACACTAAGATAAAACCTTACACCAGTAAGAATGGCACATATCAAAAAAACAAGCAACAACAAATGTTGGCAAGGATGCGGTGGAAAAGGAACTCTCCTACATTGCTGGTGGGAGTGCAAACTGGTCCAACCATTGTGGAAAGTTGTCTGGAGGTTCCTCAGTCTACTAAAAACAGAGCTACCATACGATCCAGCAATCTACCCAAAGAACACAAAAACAGTGATTCAAAAGAGCACCTCTACCCCTATATTTATTGCAGCACCATTTACCAAATGCCCAAAAATAGATGACTGGATCAAGAAGATGTGGTATATATACACAACAATGGAATATTATTCAGCAATTGAAAACGATAAACTCATGCCATTCGCAGCAACGTGAATGGAGCTAGAAGGAATCATGCTCAGTGAAATAAGCCAGAAGGAAAAAGAAAAATATCGGATGGTTTCACTTATAACAGTGATATAAGGGAACCAAATAAGACATCAGTGCAAAAAAAAATAATAACAGTACAAAACACAACAAAGCAAAAACAGACAAGACATACTTTAGGGGAAGAGGAGGGAGAGGGATGAGAGGGAGGGAGGGAGGAGCACAGGGGACTGTGGTGATGGTGCATGGGTGCCTTCTGGACGGAAATTCTATGGGGACTCAATCTGAGGGGATGGGGGAAAGCAAATATTGTCTAAAATTTAAAAAAAATGATAAATGTTAAAGTAAAAAAATAAATTTAAAAAAAGGAAAAAAAACAAAAAACAAAAAACTGAGTGATCCCAGTAGGGTAAGTAAGTGCACCCAGGAGAAACGAATATGAGCTTGGAATTCTCTTCCAGTGTTACAGAATATTCCTCACTGTGCCCAAACTCAAATGTATTCAATGAAAGAAGTCCCAATCTAAGCTATTTGAAGTAAATTTATGCTACTGGCCACATAACTACCATAATAATGACAGTGATGATAGTTATCATTATATTAATACTATGAGGTAATTACAGTGATAACCACCATTTAATGATAACAATAAGTCAAGGATTATGCTCAGTGCCTCACTATGTCAGGTATATTAGGGAGGCATTGAGGAATACTGGTTGAAAGCATGAACTTAAGAGACAGACTACTCACTCATTCCTTCACTTATTTGTTGTGTGACCTTGATCAAATTACTTAAATTCTCATTCCCACTCATTTCTCTCTCTCTCTCCTTCTCTCTCTCTCTCTCCCCCCACCTCTCTTTCCTGAAAATAAGCCAATTGTATAGGAAAGGAGAGCAGTTACAGTCATTTTCGTTTCTTATCAAATTTGACTGTGGTTGCATTTAAAAAAAGAATTAAAAAATGCCAATTAACACACAGAATTTCAGCAATTCTGAGACATTTTTCTCCTTAATTTTTCCCTTTGTGACCTAAGTGTCTTAGCATTATAACTAGTGGTGTTTTTTTCCTTTCTTAGAAGTATGTAAAATAGTGGAGGATCTTACAATCCATATCATTTTACATTTGACAAAATATGGCAGCCACTAAGCCCAATGGGCATCCTTTAAGGATTAACTCTCAGTTTATGTTAAAGGCACATCCCAGAGACTGCCCAGCATTTAAGGCCTCAACGAAATTCAAGCCCAATTTCCTCACTTGAACTTCACTTTACCCTGAAAAGTTTTTACTGATCCTTAGCCATCCCCATCAAATTAGCAAACTTCTATGGCTCTGACTATTAATCAATGTTTTTGGTTCAGGTTCTAGGCTTCATTTTCGTGTTCCTGTTTTGGTTTTTCCCTTTGTGGTGACAAAAGGGCTTGTAATCATGATGATTCGTTGGACTGTTAAACCCAGTGACACTTATCCTCACAGGCTGTCCTTACATGTGTTCTTCACCCGCAATTATCAGGGAGCTCCATGAGTAAGCTGGGAGTATTAGCTACTAGTGGAGCCTTGACAGTCTGACAGTCTGTCTGTTTTTTTTTTTTAATTTTTAAAAAATTTCTAGTTTCTGAAGTTAGTGCTATAGCCCATTTTGGAAGTACTTATCTGATTCATACTTAAATTTTTTTCCTGTTTTGGCCTGAGTGCCGCCATTCCACATATGGTCAGTTTCTTCATAGAAGAAAAAAATGTCAAGTTTGACATCATCTTTTCCCTGGAAAGATAGTTCCAAGCTGTCTTCTACCTAGAGGGAAGATGAAACAAAGGAAATACATTTTTATTTAAAAAAATATGTTTTATGTAGGGATAGTATTAATTCTATGACATGTTTTTTCAAATTGCAACACCTGAAAAATTGGAATGGATCAATAGCATGCCATCATTTGAGTTCTTTCTTAAGTGAATAAAATAATTTTGCTTCTTACAATTGGTGACAACTCAGAGTAAATAACTTACAGTTGTTAAATTATCACTTCACAGAATATTCTCTTCCTGAGCTCCTTTCTGACTAAAGAAGGAATGGAACCATTAAAAAAAATTATTCCCTTTAGTAACCAAGTAAAACTATCAGGAAATAAATCATCACAATCAATCAACACGTACTTAAGTAAATGTGGTATTATAGAAATTTACATATATACCAAAGTTTATTACACTGTGTAATTGAAAAAAAAAAAGAAATAAAAGTTTAAAAATAGGAAAAAATTCTGAGCCCCTTTCCCTAAAGAAATATCCTATAAAGAATGATGCCTCCACTGGTTTTGGTGCGCCTGTCTGCTACAGCACTAGTGGCATATTAACTATCTGCGTGGTTTTTTCCCCTCTCAATGAGACAGTGAATCCCTCAAGGGTAAAGACGATAATTTATCCATCTTTGTGTCTCAGATGCACGCACAGCACTAGGCAAAAGTAAGTTGTTGAGAGAAAAGGTTTTGCCAAATGACGAGCATTCTATTCCTTTGATTTGACCTCAGAAAAATGTTTTATTAATTTTTAAATAAAATTTTAAAATTTTATTAGTTTTAATAAACTAGAATGACTACAATGAGGGAAATAACCTTCTAGTGATGAAACATACTCTACTTGCTTTCCAGGACAACGTCTCCCTGGGAACAGGCAGATAAAGAGTAAAATGATCACGGGCTTAGTGTATAAGTATAAAAATTATCTAAGGGAGACTTCATCTAAGCCATGATGACTTATTCTTAATTGGTCTATATGAAAATTGTTGTGGCCTAGGACAAGTGAAATAAACATGAAATCAAGTAATTGTTTGAAATAATTCAGTATTTCTACCCCTTAGCAATTGATGAATGTATCTTGTTGACAATGTGCCTAAGTGTACATAAATTTAAATGTCTCATGAGAAATGATATAACTTCAGGTAGGGCAGGTGGGAATATTATTTATTTTATTAACTATGAACTATGTTCTATTAGTAATACTGTAGCCAGCATAATAACAAATTAATCTGTAAGAGTCCAAGGTCTTTCTGTTTCTCGTAATCCTTAGTAAGCCAGATTTTTAGTTTTTCACAAATAGAGGAGAAGTCATAAGTGGTAACAAGTTTTTGTTGAACTCTTCTTGGTCAAGAGTGAGTGATAAAATGATGTATGCAATATTCTTCATTTTTCAGACTTTGTACTTAGGAGGAAGTAAAGCAGATTTTTATCACTGACCTTCCCAAATTTATGTTTGAGTGGCAGTCCTGCATCCTGAAACGCTGAAATTATATCAGATTTGTAATCTTGAATAAAAATTCCTAGGTCGACATCTTTACTATAAGGAATAATATTGCACTGCCGATACCATCCTAAAAACAAAAAAGAAAAGGAATAAACTTAGGTTTGGAAAAAATTAAAAATTAGTGATTACATAGGATAATATCTGTAAGATTTTATTTCATAGGATTAGACTTAGGATGCTTTACCAAAATTATCTTTTAAAATATTAAAACCCAGGGCCTCCCTGATGGCACAGGCGGTTAAGCGCTGCACTGTGAAGCTGTCCGCAGCCTCTGCAGTGCAGGTTCGATCCCCGCCAGCCAGGGAGAAACCCACATGGCGCAGCAGACCTCTTCCGTCTCACCCACTACTCCCCTTAGCAGTGTATTTCATCAGTCTGCCTGTTCTGTTCCCTGCTCTGTCTCTCGTGAATCCTCTCACCCTCCTGCACATTTGGCCTGTACCCCAGTTCTTGTATAAATAAATAAATCTTAAAAAAATATTAAAAAAATAAAATATTAAAATCCAAAATAAAATCCATGGTTATAGGAACCACCTGTTGAAGAACCTATCTTTGTTTAGCACTTGGACTCCATTAAAACTTTTGTAATGTATTTTAATTTCTTAATAAACTATAGCCTTATAATGTTAATTGGGCCATGCACTAAAAAACAAATTAGGTTACTGGTTTGGTGGCATAACATATATATGAAGAGGTATGAACTTATACTCCTTAACACATATACAGTGTTGTAAAGCAATGTTACCTCCATAAAATAAATAATTTTTAAAACTTTAGATACTTTTTCTCCCCATTCATCAGCACACAGCAGGTTTACTTAGGAAAAAAGGATAAGGAAAGACAGATGCCTGCACAGACACAGATGGGCAGTCTTAAAGGACAAGAACTGCCAAAACTTAAGATACTTTTGAGAAAGTTTAATCATAAACCTCAAATGATGGAGGCTATTAAAATATGCTAAAAACATAATTTCATTATTGTGTTTAGCCAATATTCTTTTCCTGAGTAGTAATTTGTAGAACTTAACAGCTCTGAACAGATTGAATCTGATGGGCCATATAAAAGAGGAGAGCAGTATTAATCCCAATTTTCAGCACACTGTCAAAAGAGAATTCTAAGTATTTAACTATGTATCCATTTCTCAATTAGGTGCTACAGTATTATTCTAAAGTATAAAATTTATACCTTATTACTATAAGATATAATAACAGGGCCTCCTCTATTATACTTCCAATCCTCCATCCAGATTATTTTAAGAATAAATAGATGTTTAGAACTACCTTTACAGGCATTGTTTATTGGATAATATTGTTTAGAATTCTAAATCTTTAAATTAATTTGACATAGAGACCTAGCATATGTTCCTACTTCTAGTCTGAGAAAAACATTATAATCCACATCTCAGAATCAAAAGAATATAAAAGGCAGTGATGTCCAATCAGTGACAGTATTCAATGGTTTTTGAAATACCTTATGACACTCCCTTTTATCTTCCTCTCATCAGAATCTTTTGGTGCAATGCAAGCTATCTATATGATATGTGAGCAAAGAAATAGAATAGAGTTCTTTTAAAAGTGCAGTAATGATCTTTGGGATAGAAATAATAAAATGCTAATCTAGATTACCTCAGAATCAATATCAGTCTCTGTATTCTGATATAAATTTTATACATATTACTCACAACATTTGGCCTTCCTATTTTCTGCATCTCAAATTAATTTGTTCTAAGGAAATCAAAAAATCCTTTCTCCATGCAATGTTTATCCTGCCTATAAATGATATTTCAAATATCACTGATGTTTTGTCATTTCAAGCAGTCATTCCCTGTAGCCAAAGAGGATGAAATGGCAAAAAGAAACATAAAGCAAGAATTTTACCTAGACAAGTTCCACTGCTCAGCCAGAACTGTACCCCCAATTTCTTTAATGTTTTGGCTGCTAGTTGCAACAATTCCTTTGCACTCTTCCGAAAGGTCATAGCTTCCACAGTGTTATCATCAAGGTACTGCTACAGATAAAATAAGCAGATTACCAAAGCCATTTCTAACTTACAAGAAACATTTCTGTGACATCTTAATTAAATTAGAAAATTAACCCCTTATTACATCTTTTTTTGTGTTACAGAAATGAAGTTTCAGAGTTCCCTGTTCATTACACATTAAAATAAAACTATAGAAGTAGATTCTAGGAAGGACAAATTAAAGGGAAAGAATACAGGCAGGATTCCCAATGGATGAGATTCATATCTTTATCAACTTCCTTCTCCACATCACAATTTAGCAAATCAGGTAGTTGAGGGGGGGAGAGGAAGGCTAATTTTAAAAGCCACAAACATTTCGGAGGGAAAATTCATTCAATTATTCATCCATTATTCACTGATAACGGGTCTTCAGAGATGGATACTGTAGTATTGTTAGTATGAATCTGGAGCTTTGAAACTGATTATCTGTGTTCAAGTCTAGCCTCATTTCTTTTTAGCTGTGTCCCTGAGCATATCACCTCAGAGTATAAATGCAATGAGGAAAGTGACTTCATTCTTGTTTATCACTTTATCTCTAGTATCTAAAACAGAGCCCGAATACCTATTAAATGAAAGAGATAATGAAAGAATAAACTTCTCATAGATATCATGTCCTCATCAATAATAAAAGGATAATTATACTTTGCAGGCTGTGAAGATTGAGTGAGATAACAGATGACAGAAAAATGTCTAAGGAATTGTGAAGTTCTATCCAAATAAAATTTACTTAGTCTTCTTGCTTTGCTGATTTTCTTCATTTTTAGAATATTCTAGAGCTAAGGGAAGCACTACAGTGATGCCTCACTACCTAGGGGACAAAATCTAAACTTGCATGGCAGACAAGTGTATTCCAGTCCCTAACTACTGGTCCAGTCTCATCTCCACCTTCCTCACACTTCATCTTACAGCATTAACTCATGCTCTCCAAATAGATCATAATTTTTTTTAAGCCATTGTGCCTTTATGTATGTTGGTTTCTTTGTCTGAAAAGTCCTTGACTAACAAAATCTTCCAGGTTTCAGTTCCACCTACTGATAAACATTCTCTGATTTTTCTGGAAAGATATGTGTTTACTCTCCCAGTGCTCCTCTTCAGTTCATTATCGCAGACCAAAGAATTATGTTTAGTTATACATAGCAATGAAATCATATGTTCATCTTAGAATAGTTATTAATAATAGTGACCACCTGTATTAATATATATTTAATTTTTACTATAATTCTTAAATTCTAGTTGTTGATTTTACTTATAATATTTCTTTTGCTAGGTTGTAAAGATGGTTCCTTAAGGGTGAGTACTGAATCTCTCAATAACTGTCTTTACAAATTTAGTGAGTAACACAGATTGATAAATGGGTAAATAAATGATTGACTAAGTCTCTTCCATGCTTACACTATCTGAAAATATGCTTTGATTCTTTTATAACATAGTAAGAAGAAATACATTTCCTAGAATAACTGTAAGTAAGAAGTAACCCTAGGAAGTGAGGCTCCTAAAGATAAACTGACGTCTTCAGAACATACAAATTATATGGGATCCCTTCAAGTGAAAACATCCTTAGGCTATAACTTCTCATAAACATATGGTTGGGATGAAAAATGCATGTTTTTATCCTTGAAGTTCGGAGTTTGGAGTCTCAGAATTTTGATCACACTCAGTCAATGATGATTATGTAACTAATATCTTGAAACCTAAATTTCCTTACCTGTTACAGGCAAATATTTGCCTTATTTCAGGGAGTCACTGAAAGGATCACATTAAATCACAAATATCAAAACTTTACACACTATGGAAATATTACTCTAACAGTTATAGTGACTGAAGCTGTCCCCTGTGTACTCAAACTTCCACCTTTACCTACCTTTCCTAACATAACACTCCCAGAAACTGCAGTTCTTAGAAGTGACCTTTATATGTGTTTGGCCTCCCTGGTGGCACAAGGGGTTAAGCACACACTATGAAGTAATCCACTACCTCTGTAGCATGAGTTCGATCCCCGGCCAGCCAGGGAGCAACACACATGGTGAAGCAGACCTCTCCTGTCTCACCCGTTGCTCCCTCAGCAGTGTATTTCAGAAAGTCTGCCTGTTCTGTTCCCCGCTCTGTCTCTGGTGAATCTTCTCACCACCCCGTAGCATCTCTGGCCTGTACCCCAGCTCTCATATGCATAAATAAATAAATCTTTAAAAAAAAAAAAGAAGTGACCTTTATATGTGTTAAAGTGTATACACATATATACTGTTACACATTTTTATATCTGTTATAGATTCTATATAGTATGCATACATTTTTTCATTAGAAGTATCTTATATAAATCTTGGGATTATCATACCTCTAGAAAAAGACAAAATCCTAACTTAAATATATCTATTTTATATTTCCTGTTTAAGCAACCTTTCCTTAAGCCTTCTCCCAAAATGTCATAAACTAATAAGATGGCAGAAGGTACCCACTCGTTTTGGAAATGAGGAAACTAAGGCTCAGAAATTTACCCAAGTTCTCAGAGCAAATTATGGAAGGAAAACAAGAATATAGTTGTCCAGTTATAAAAAAGATGAACTCTTGCCATTTGCAATGACATGGATGGAACTGGAAGGGATTATGTTAAGTTAAAAAGTCAGAAGGAAAAAGACAACAGATGATTTCACAATATGTGGAATATAGAGGAAAAACAAAGGAATGGGAAAAACTAAACCAAAACAGACCCTAGGAATATGACTGCAGAATTAAGACTGCTAGAAGGGAAGGGATGGAAGGCGAAGGAGCCAAGGTGGGAGCGGGCTCAATGGCCTAGGGTAAAGGACCACAGGTACTTTGACTGCGGGGGTGGTTATAACATACATCGGGCAAGGTCTGAAGCTATTCCCCAAAATCATAGACAGTGTTGTAAACCAATGTTACCTCAATAAAGAAAAAACAAAAAATACAGCTGTCTAGATATTCCTAGGCTAGGTGTCCAGATATTTCCATATTCTGCCCTGTTTTTCCACTGGAATTTAACTGGCTGGAGCTTGATAATTATTTTTTGATGGTTACTGCTGAAACAAAAGCAAGTTAGGAATAATGTATATAATCCTAGTTCTAAACTTCTTGGTAGTTTGAGAATATAATCAAAAGTAAAAACTGTAAGTAAGGAGATGAACCTAGAACATCTTGTGCAAAAAAGCAAAAAAAAAAAAAATGCTCAAAAGATAATGGAAACGTATCAAAAGGGAATTGAATATGGAACAAATTAAATAATGAAACAAAAGACTATCACCCATTGAATAAAAGGGTAAACAATGAATTCATATTGATATAAGCAAATAAATAAATTTAACTTTTGAGGAAGCTATTGACAGTATTTACATAATTTTAAAGTTCTTTCACGCAAAATTCCTATTAATTACATAGGGAAAAACCAGAAACTTCACAGGGGTGAAGCTAGCAGACAGCACTTTAGTGATCAGTGTGAATGTCACCAGTAATGGGCCAAATAAAATTCGCCCAGCGCCTTTAGGATGTAATGAGACAGGCACAGCATTACCTCCTATTAAAGGTATAGAACCTGAATCGAATGAGGAAAAAACAGACAAACCCAAAATGAGGGATAATTTAAAGTGGCCTCTCGTCTTCAAAAAAAGGCTGTGTAACTAAGGCTGAAGGAGACAAAAAAGACAGGAAAATAAAAACCTGATTCCGAACTGAAATGACCTTTGGTTATAAAGGTCATTACTGGGTCAGCTAGCAAAACTTAAATGGGGATAAAACAGTAATAATACATATGCTAATTTCCTGATTTTTGTGTTAAAACACAAAAAAAAACGTAGGAGGATGTTCTTGTCTTAATGAAATGATAAATTATTTGGACTGTGGGGCATACTGTGGACAATTTACTTCCAAGAGTTCAGGAAAAAAAATTATCTGCATTTGCAACTTTTCTTGAAGTTTGTGAATATTTTCCAAAAATTATTAAAAAGGAGAAAGGGGGCTGTTTTATAATCTGATTAGATTAGTTCATGCCTGATTTACACCAGTTCTATTTAAGACTGTTTGGCGCCATCAAGTGTTCAAAGTAATGTTCACTTTAATTTGCAAACGGACCCCCTGGTATTTTTCTTTTTTTTTCCTTAAGATTTATTTATTCATGCATACAAGAACCGGGGTACAGACCAAATGCGAGGGAGGGTGAGAGGATACACCAGAGACAGAGCAGGGAACAGAACAAGCAGACTGCCCTAAATACACTGCTGAGGGGAGCAGCGGGCGAAAACAGGAGAGGTCTGTCGTGCCATGTGGGTATGTCCCCAGCCGGCCGGGAATTGAACCTGCACTGCAGAGGCTGAGGACAGCTTCACAGCACTGTGCTCAACCGCCTGTGCCACCAGGCAAGGCGCCCCACTCTGGTTTTTTTAAACATGGTTCTATCATAAGATGCTGAAGTATGAAACATTTAGGAGGATTAGAATTAAGATGATATCAGTAATATCAATATATTTGCAGAAGAGAAAAATCAATTAGGAATCACATCATTTATTTTCGTCACATCATTCATTTTTCATGATGAGAATGAACACAAAGTTCTACCTGATCCTAAATAGCACTATAGTCTTGCTATATGGTAGTACTTTAAATAGCCAAATTATGAGACTATAATTAGCTGATAAACCTCTGAACATCTGTCATCCACATGCTTTTATTCAAATGCTGATTGAGTGCTTAGCCTTAGAATTTCAAAAATAATATAATAATATGGAATTAAAAAACATGGCACTTGCTCTGCTCCCCGCTCTGGCTCTGGTGAATTCTCTCACCCTCCTGCGCTTCTGACTGTACCCAGTCAGACTGTACCCAGTGCATGTGTAAACAAACAAACAAACAAACAAATAAATAAATAAAACATGCCTCTATAAAAAAAAAATGACACTATCTTCATAGGTTCTCCATATTTTGAAACATTTACATTTTATATTGCCTCCTCACAAAGACCCATAAAATAAATCTTGGAAATAGTTGCTAGGTGCTTTTTAGGAGTAGTCCTAAAAAGTAAAAAATCATTTGGCTTGGATTAGTACCTAGTCTCTAAGCATCTTTCCTTAAAAGGGTTTCCTGAGTGTGTTCCTAGAACCCACTTGGGTTCTAGCACAATCTACCAGAAAAACCTTGCATTTGTGCACATTAGACCCACTGCACTGGCTGGTGATGATAAAGCTGTTATTTCATTTGCCATGCTCTCTCTGACCTTATGTAGACAACTTTTATTAGAGAACCCCAGAAAATAAAAGATAAGCGGAAAGATTTGTGTACCAAAACCCCACTGTAAATGGGACTGTTTTACTCTACCTCAGTTTCATGTCATCTCTTAGAGATGAACTTACATGCCCTTCAAAATCATCTTTATATCCCCAGGGTCAGCAGAGTTCCTGGGAAATAGGCTTTCAATAAATGTTTATTGAATGAAAGCTAGAGCAGCAGAATAAAGTAAAGTTCAAAAGCACTTGGTCTTTGTGTAGCATTTATCTTCAAAAACCTTCATAAAAACCGCAAAAAAAAAATTCATATTCAGAGCCAACCCTCTGAGAAAAACTGTATTTTTATGAAATCTTTTCTAAATCCACATGGTTCATCTTCTACAGTGGCTTCATCCTACTTAGATTGCTTCAAAAACAGAATACACCATCTTTTATAAAGCCTACGGGCTATCATAACTGAAAGCAGAAGCCTGTGCTGAACCTACCGATGTCCATCCAAATAAAACAAGGCCTCCATAAATATCAAACCATTCAACCAGGGAAGGAAGAATTTCTGAAGGCTTATGCTTAATCTAGTTTAAAAAAATTAAAACAATCTAGAAGAAAACACATGAACCAAAAAAATGTTTTCTTGCCTATTTTCTGTAAGTCCCTTCGTTTCTCCACCAGAAATATTAAAAATAAACACATTTTCTTTAATTTAAAAGTAAAATATGTGGTTATTGCTAACCTGGAAGAATGCTCGAGCTTCTTTATACCGGCACTCAATAAACCTAGAGTGAGGTATTTCTTCTAGAAAGTGCATTGAATCTTTTGGAATGAGAACTTCTAGTCCATCAACAGTAAGCTGTTGTAACTCTGGCCTGAAAACAAAAGTTAAGATTTTTTATAAGGACTTATCTCAGAATATTGCCAGCTTCTTTAAAATTTACAACATAAACAAAATAGCTAAACATCAAACGGTTTTCTTCAATTAAAACAGATACTAAATTAAATCTTTAGCCCAGGTCTTTAAAAAGACCTTGAAAATCTGATATCAAGTAGCAACTTACAGTTTTAAGCATTTTAAAATGTTTTTGCAATTACTCATATACACTTTGACATTGAAAACAGAAAGGAAATTCAGATGAAAGAGATATAAACTATCAATGTTCTTAACATTGAAGTACATAAGTAAATTACAATTGTCTGAGAGTCTCATTAATGGGCTAATCTCATTAATGGGTTTAATCTGAGAATTAGTATGATTGACTTTGGATCCCACAGACTCAAGTATTCCTTGAATATTTTCTGTTCCTCTATAAAATTGTACAAGGTACAGAGAGGTTTTGTCTAGAGACTGGCACACATATTTTTAATAAGTTTCTATTGACTGACAAATTTGAACTTCATTAATTATTAATTAAACTATGAAATACATGTTTTTATTTGTGAATTGTTCAAGTTTAACTTTTTAAGTAAGAAGTTCTAAAAATTGTATTAATTAAGGGAACAATCATTTATAACACTGTATATGACTTAGGGGTACAAGTTCGCACTTTCTTCAGAAATAATTTTTTTTAAAGATTTATTTATTTATACAAGCACTGGGTACAGTCAGAAGTGCGGGAGGGTGAGAGAATTCACCAGAGCCAGAGCAGAGAACAGAATAGGCAGAGTGACAAAATTCACTGCTGAGGGGAGCAGCGGGCATGGCAGGAGAGGTCTGTCGCGCCATGTGGGACCCTCGCCCGATGGCCGGGGATCGAAACAGTGCTGCAGAGGCTGCGGAGCTATCCGCAGCCCAGCGCTCAACCGCTGCGCCACCAGGGGAGGCCCTAGAAATAAATTTTTAAGTCTTAAAAAAATGAAAACAAAATGTCTTGCTAAAAGGTTTTTTTAAAAAAACAGAATAAGTAAAAACAGGAGTAAAGGTGGTAAAAAGAATAACAGTTATTAAAATCTGATTCGGATCAGAAAAGTACGGTGTTTGTATACACAAAAAATGTGATCTCTTATGGATCAAATTTCAAACACATATAGATCAGCAAATGGAAGTTTGATTTTTGCTTATATGCAACTCTGTATTTTCATGTACCAAATACCAGACGAATGTAGAGGCCTAGATGTAGTTATCTTATTTAAGCACACAAAAAATAAAAAGTCCTTTAACTAATTAGTATTTTGGTATCTCTGGAATATTATACAGAGAATAATCCATTCTGACTAGGCAGTTTACTCTCTGACTGTGAGAGCAGTGAATAACACCATGACTTCAGTAACCCTCTATTGACTTGAAAATACAAATAACATAAATAGTAAATGAAAAAGACAGTTCAGGACAAAAAGGAAAGATCTTTCTCTCCCCCTCTGAAACCCAATGTCTCACCTGTCTATATTTTCTGTTACCTAACGGTGTTTAATAAAGAAAAGTGGTGTACATTTTAAAATTTCAAGAATTCAAAGACAAAATATTAGGGACACTGCAAGGAGATACTAATCAAGTGCCATGTTCCATTTCATCGGCAATGTGTCCCCTGCTTTTCAGCATTTTTCAGCATGTCCTTCTTGACGCCTCTTTTTCTCTGCTTCTCTAGCCAGTCTCTCTTGCCATCTTCACTTTCCTGTCTCGTGATCTTCCTCAGTTACCAGAAATTGTCTTCAGAGAAGCTGTGGTATACCCAGCCCAGCTCCTGAAATCACTTCTACCAAATCTAAAAGACCAGACAGGGGTGGGTTTAGGGGCTGGAGGGCAGAAGCCTAAAGGAATACCCAGCAGGGATTCATCTGAGAAGTTAGGCACAAGTTTTCACAAGGATTTAACAAGACCTTAAGTACTAAGGAGTTCTCCAGTGTTGTTGTAGGCGTATAGTCCTTGCAGCCTCTTCTTCAGCACCAGACCTGTTGGGGCTTGTCCAAGGCTTCTTCCCAGTGATGCCATCTGACCTCACTGCCAGAATGGGTTGTGATTCTAGTAACTGGCCTCTCCAAGCAGGCAACTGGACATCCTCAAAGGGATGGAGATGCTTAAACCACGGTTATGTTTGAGTTGGTTTCCACAGCCACAAGGCTTCCTCTGTAATTTTTGACCACCATACTTTTTTCCTGTACCCTAGTGACTGGTTCTGTAGAAAGGGCTACACAACTTGCTGTGATTATTCATGTTTATAAATTCTTTCTCCTGCCCCCTCAATAAAAAGACATCAGCCTCATCCATCAGTGGTCATTGATCTTTTCAGGACAGAAGTCAGGGAGGGGATGGAAGCCATAGGAAGCAGGGCTCCAACACCTTCCTCCTCCCCATTTCAGTCTCTTCCCTTTCCCAGGAGTGCTGAGTTCTCAAGAACTCACTGCATGCCATCCTGCCTGCTCTGCAGAACACCTGGCATCACCATCTCAGAAATTATTTCATTTCTTCCAAATCTCAAAGTAAAATCAATGCTCCTGTGCATCGTCCCTGTGTGGCTAGATTGCCCATCTCTGTAATGTGATAGGCCTTTCCACTGTGATGAGTTCTCCTTCTTCTAACATGGCGGGGCAGTCACTATAAGAGACCTGAAGAGTTCTTGGTCATTCACCAGACTGGGATCCGAGGGATCCTCCTCAGGGAATCAGATGGTAAGGGGTCCAAACAAATGATTTCTGGCAGCATGGAGGTAATGGTGGTTTTGAAAGCTGGTATTACTGTTTTAGCCAAGTTTTTATGGTTTCAAATATGGGGCAGAGAACTCCCAAGAAGCCTAAATAACCACCAAGCAGCCTGACCCACCCCCACATGGGGACAGGCCTCAGCATGTATGAGCCCTACCAGAACACTAAAATCCACTTGAAGTGTAACTGGGCTGTAAACATTTTTATTATTAAGTGATGGCTAATGATTTACTTTTGCACATAGTTTGAAATGTATATCTAGGAAAGTACATAAAACACAAGGGCACAAATAATCCATTACAGAGTGAACACTTGTATATCCACCAGGAAACCTGCAGTTCTGTGTCCTACCCAACCTACACCCCTTCCATTCTCCCTAGAAATAAACTCTACCCTGTCTTTTGTGGCAACTCTTTGTTAATGTTTTTGGGAAAAAATATGTATTATATAGATTTAATTTTTTACTTCCACTCCTAACGCCAGTTTTATGGGGATATAATTGACACATAACATTGTGTTATTTGAAAATGTATAATATAATGATTTGATATAGGTAATTATTGAAAAAAGGACATCAGAGTTCAGTTAACATCCATCACCTCGCATAGTTACAATTTTTTTTGGTGATAAGAACTTTTAAGATCTACTCTCTTAACAACTTTCAACTGACAATATTGTTAATTATAGTGGCCACGCAGTACATAACATCCACTGAACCTATTTATCTTATAAATGGAAGTTTGTACCACTTGACCACTTCTACTATGTAAGTTATATTCATGAAGATACTTTATCTGATGTTTCAACATTTTATAAATATAATCTTAAGTTTAGTGTTCTTTTATGCCTGATTCTGGCACGTCATATAATAGGATTTATCAATGTGGCTGCATAGAACACCAGCACATTCCTGTGGCTGCTCTACAATTCTTCATGAATACACAGAGCTTTGTGTGGAGCATTAAGAACAATGTTGGTGGGAACATTCTTGTCTATATATCTTGTCTACGCACATGTGCACGAGTTACTTCCAGTTGAAAACTGACATTTCGAAACAGAGCTATGTACATTATATATTAGACTTCACCACTGAATGTACAAAAAAGAGTAAGAATTCATAAGTGTACAATATGCATTTCACATTTCCTCTCTAGGCCTTGAACCCACCTGTCAAAAGCTCCAGGATAACGACCAAACCGTAACTTTCGAAATGGAACAAATTTTCTGTCAATGTGTCTTTTGAGCCGTAGATGGCCATGCCAGAGGTAGTTGCCACTTCTCTCATGAAAGACCACCAAGTGGATGGCATGAGTGGCCAATCTGCAGATGTAGTGCAGGGGGATTTCAGTTCCAGAAAGTGAGTCTATCCCATCTAACCGTGGGTCTTTGCTCTCGATCTTCAGGCACTGAAATCCCATATTTTCAGCTATCCGAAACCAGCCTTCCTAGAGTCAAAGAAACATCCATGTTTAAATATTTAAAACTAAATATTAGCAGTAAAACTAAAGTGATTCTTACAATAAATTAAGCCACGTGAATTTTTGTGCTCTTTTGCCTGAAGAATTAAAAATGAGGGTGCTGAAGGGAAGGTGGTGTTGGAAGAATAAAGGAAAGCATCAAAAAAGAAACTATTAATACAAAGTATGGAAATGTGTTCAGACTCTCTCAATAAATATTAATACAAATTTCTTCCCTGGAATGAGAATATTCATTGTCTGGTCTCTGGTTAGCATCGATAAAATAAGGGTTAATGCAAGGACTGCACTTTAAACTTGTAATTTTCAATTTAACTTCCAGTCACCTTTATCTCCAAAAGTGCCTTAAGAAAGTAGTGTTTCCGTCTCATAGTTTATATCCCAGCCCTTTAAAGTGTTCATCATAATGCAAATCATTACAAAACAGACTGAGACATATTGTAAAAAAGAAGTGCATTTTCTAACATCATTCGTAATAGTACAAATCTCATGTAACAAGATTAATCTATATGGCAAAATTTTAGTCCTAATCTCAACAACCAGTGCCACAGACAATTAAACAATATTAATTAATCAGAACACATTACACTTGAAGAGTAATTTACAAATTCCAAGAAACTTTTATATTAAAAATATAGTACTTATATATAAATGTCTATCTTATAAATTAAGTAGCACAGGGATTATTAGTAAAGAAACACTCACAGCAGTTTAAAGAAATAAAGAAAATTACTAAGAGGCAAAACCAGCATTTTATCCATCCAAATACAAGGTTCTTTCCACCATCTAAAACTACCTCTCTATTCAATACTTACATACTATGTATAGAGCTCATTCACATTCATTATCTCATCTGATGCCCACAGAAACATGTGAGGTCACTAAAGAAGTTACAGTTAAGGAAAACAGAGCTCTAAGTCATAATACTAGAAATTAAGTTATTAAATAATGGAGCTGTGTCTGGAAATTTGTCTCCAAAGTCAGCACTCACAAACACTTTTCAAGTATAGGGCCTCCCCTGGTGGTGCAGGGGTTGAACGCTGGGCTGGGAAGCTGCTCGCAGCCTCTGCAGCGCTGGTTTGATCCCTGGCCACCAGCGAGGGTCCCACATGGCGCGACAGACCTCTCCTGCCGTGCCCACTGCTCCCCTCAGCAGTGTTCTGTTCCCCGCTCTGTCTCTGGTGAATTCTCTCATCCTCCCGAGCTTCTGACTGTACCCAGTGCTTGTATAAATAAATAAATAAATCTTTAAAAAAAAAAAAAACAACACTTTTCAAGTATACTTTATTCATACCACTTATTGCATTAGAATGTTCTCATTTGAATTAGCTGTATCCTCACCTGTGCTCTTGTTAACACTTACAAACCTGTCACACTACTGATTCTACTGCTTTTTCATTATTTATACTCCATTAAAAGAATAGACCGCAAGGTCTTTAAGAGTGGTGTTATCCAGCAGTTACTCAACAAAAATTGCTGTTGTTGTTTATATTATTAAACTCTCAAGAGAAAGTGCTAATATTGGAAAGTAACATTAACTAGTTCCATCAGCAACTGTCTTCTTTCTGGATATAGAGCTAAACTGTGTTCTTGTCAAAGGAATATGGATAGATGTACCACATGCCACTTCTAGGCCTGGCTTTACAATATCCTATAAGATCTTCCATGTTTTCTCTCTTCCTTCTGTATATGTGAAAGCAAATTCCAAAATGGGAAAGTCACATAAATTAAACATCTTAGGTCCCTAAGTCACTGTTGAGAGGAAAACTGCCCAAGAATATTTCTGACGAGAATATCCATATTGGATTTTATAATAAAGACAAATACTCCTTTTCCTGTGCCAGATCAATGATTTCAGGGCTGTTTCCAAAAGCAAATAATGAAACGTATCCTGGTAAAAACACTTTCCCCTTGATTCTCCATATATTAGAATTACCAACTACATACTCCTTTTTTCCTTTCCTTTTTTGGTATACCAAAGAGGTAGAATATACTGATTACAGGTGAGAGTAATTAATTTAAAGAAGAAATCCAACATATGGGGTGAAAGAGAGGCATTATAAGTTGGTAAATTCAGGAAAAATTTAAAAGGCCAGCTAGACCTTGCGGGAGATTCAGACAAGTCCTGTTCATGAGTGTGATGCCTTTAAGCGAAGACAGTTATCTTTTAACAATGAGAAAAATGAAGAAAGAACTTCAATGATGCAGTTCCTCACATCAGTGGGCAGCTGAGGGAATACCAACAGCCACCAACACTTTAACTTCTTATTACACAAGAAAAGTAAGTCCCCCATTTGCTTAAATCATTATTAACAGTTTTCTGGTACTTATAGTTGAAATTAATCCTGATACAATTTATAAAAAAAACTTTCACGTTTCACATTTAAACTGATTTAACCCCATACTATTGTGTAAAAGCCACATATTCCTTTATCTCAAAGTAAATCACCTTACCTCATTCTTCCACAGGTGATACTGCAGTGCAAATGCAGTAAAGTCTCTGGGAGCACAGAAAAACTTGCATTCTGAAGTGGAGCCACGAGAAGTATTTTTGACTTGTTCAAAGTTTTTATTAATCATTTCCAGGATCAAAGGATCAATAAGGAACACTGGCACATTTTGGCTGGATGTTAACATGATAAATTTTTTAACTGCACGCTGTTTGAGAAGAAGACAATTCCCTTAATTCTACTAATGCAATATAACAAACTATTTTATTAAATATTTATTCATTAATTTTTAAAATGAGTTCTGTATTTACTCAATAGATACCATGTTTATTATTGTTCTGGAAAATAAATATATATATTTATTTTCCTGCTCCCAAGAGGTATACAATCTAGTGAGAGATATGGATAAATATTTATAAGGTAAAATATGCTTTACTAAAATATATGAATATATTATAAGGTACAGAACAAAAGGCCACTAATTAACTAACATGAAAAGGCTAAGAAAGTCCTGATAGAGGTTTACATGTCATTATTAGTATTATCTAAATCTTTAACAAAAATACCAAATTTGCCAGTTTTTAAAAGTCAGTCATGTCTTTTTCAAAACCAAAATTCAATTGTATGTGCCACCTTTATTCATATTTATAATATTGCTCACTATTCTTTCTAAGCAAAGACTCAGATTAAAATACATTGCCTGCTTGATGAGTTCCATATAGTTTCATTTTCTAACAATATTGCAATATTTTTAAATGTAACTCTACTGGGCAGCAAGTGGACTCCTCTACTGAAAAAAAAAATTTCAAAATTAGAAACAGATTAACACACAATTTAGGATTAAATAATACCTCGAAGCAACAAAGATAAATAGAATACCTGGTACGCATATTGTTTAAAAGCCTACTTCGGTAAATGCAATAATGAGTTTTAAAAGATGCATGCCCATCACAGAGGTGCTTCATAGAATGAAGGATAAATTCTTTTTTTTTTTTAAAGATTTTTTCTTTTTTCTTTTTTTGAAGATTTATTTATTTATTTATACAAGCACTGGGTACAGTCAGAAGCGCGGGAGGGTGAGAGAATTCACCAGAGCCAGAGCAGGGGCAGAGCAGGCGGAAGAACCGAAGTACACTGCTGAGGGGAGCAGCGGGCAGCAGGAGAGGTCTGCGCGCCACGTGGGACCCTCCTCCGGTGGCCGGGGAGCAGCCGGGGATCGAACCGGTGCTGCAGAGGCCGCGGGCAGCTTCGCAACCCAGCGCTCAACCGCTGCGCCACCGGGGAGGCCCAAGGATAAATTCTTATTCACAAATCTGAAGGAACTCTGTGAATAATAACATGTATTCCAGATGTATTAATGTATTATGTTAATTCCATGTATTAATATATAATCAGACCAGGATATCAAGAATTTTAAGAATATGGGGAAAATGAGGTAAAGCTGGGATTCAGTCTCTTATTTCCTTTTGGTGCAGAAGATTATGGAAACACCAGGCATACAATAATCTCTACTTTTGAGGGGTTTATACCTCCTAAGTGGGCGAGACAGCTAAGGAAAAAGTTGGAAAAAACAACTTTATGATTAAAATATTTAACAACTTAGATAAATTTCTTAAAGAATATAATTAACAAAATTACCACAAAATGAAACAGGACATTTGAGTTGCCCTACTAATTAGTGAAATTGAATGTTATAAAGAAAGAAAAAAAAAACACCTGTTGTCAAACAAGAAAAACTCCAGACTCAGATGATTTATTAATGAATTTCACTGATGATTTAAAAAAGAAATAATACCAATCTAAAAAGAAAAACTCTTTGAAAACTAAACAAAAAGGAATCCTAATTCATCTTAGGAGGCCAGTATAACCTTAATAGCAAAATCTGACAGACATCACAAAAAAAGGAGCTATATGCCACCATCTCTTGTGCACATAGATGCAAACATACTTAAGATATTAGGAGTCATGTCCAGTAGTTAAAAAAAAAAGACTAAGTAAAAGTAAATATCATGATCAATGGGGTTTATTCTGGGCAAGAATAACAAAATAAAGATGGAGAACTTTATGATAATTTCAACACAGAGAAAATATTTGACAAAATTCAATGCCTATTCATAATTACAAACTCTCAGCAAATCAGGAATAGGATACTTTCTTAATTTAATAAAGAATATGAACAAAATAATTTATCATCGATTTACAGAATTTCTGTTATTCTTAATATCAGTCTTTTGTCAGACACAGGTTCTACAAATATCTTCTAGTCTGTGGCATATCTTAATATTCTTAATGATGTCTTTTAATGCATAGAGGTTTTCAATTTTGATGGTCTAATTTATCAAACTTAATTCTTTTTTTTTTTTTTTGCATCTCCACATTGCATTCTTTAGAAATCAGGGAAGTGATTAAACCTCAACATTTGCCCTCCTCTGTACATTGATAACATTAACATATTTTTAAGTCAAGATAACTTTGACAATCAAAGATATAAGCTTATAGAAAACCAGAAGCATAACTTTTGTGGGACAGGAGATCTCAGGAATAATTACATTTGGGTGTTAATTCAAACTTAATTCTTATTGCTGTTTTTTTTCTGTGCTGTACTCTAGGAGAATAAACAAGAGAAAGAAATGGCTTTGAAGACAGTGATGAGTTAACAGATATTAGTACATTTAAGTTGCTTAATAAAAGTTTGTTGAATGAATCTCTTTCAGCTTGGTGTTAAATACAAACACGATGAACCACCTTTATGGTTCCATTATATAACATTAATATAAATATAGATTAGGATAGAGTCTCTGGTTAAAGAGAAGTCAAAGATTGAAGTGCTTCCAGGAGAAATATCTGGTCATATCCAAAATGTATAATCACAGAATAAATGTAACTTTTTATTAGTAACCTAGTATTGTCTTTCATTCTAAATTTAGTTAAAAAAAAGGTAAGAAAATATATTTTGTAAATGCACAAGTTCTGACCTTTATAAATCTTAACAGGGATATACTGCTTATAAATACTATTGTTAGTTTTCCTTATCTTGAAAAGGAAATACCTAATAGATTTTTATTACTAATCATCATTTCCCCATACTCATAGCTCAATTCTGATTCATACACTTATTCATTTGGGAGGCACCACAATTCAGTGAGTGGAGATTCCTGAGACAAATAATTACAATGTGGACTCAGCCGCCTATTAATCAAGTAACCATAATCTAAGAAAATTAAAAATAACAATACATCCATAAGGGCTAAATAAGATACAGCATGTATAGTAGTTGGCACAGGGCTGGCCCCTTCCCTTCTTCTACCTATTTTGACTCCCCACTAACATAGCTATCATCACTATCACTATTCAACAAGTTTATATAAACAAATGAATTAAATGAACATTGCAAATGAGGAATTTCTTGTTTACACTACATACCCATTGTGTGCTATCAAATCCAATTTGGCTTCCTTTGGATTTTGATAAGCCAGCTCCATTCTAGGAAAATAACAAAAGAAAATTTAGTAAATTCAAGACTCCGCAGCTAATAAGCAGTATAGATGAGTTTTAATTCCAGGCTGGAGTTCATGCCTTTAGAAACGATGCTACATTGCCTCCCAGGAGAAAGAGTTAAGATAGCAATTATTTATATGAATTTAACATAGAGTTAAAATGGGAATAAGTGATATTGGAGTAACAGATTAACCATTTGGGAAAATCTGTAAGATATTTAATTCATACCTCATACTAAAATAAATTGTATTTAGTTAAAAAAAATTAAATCTATCAGTAAAATAGTATTTGATGAAAATACAGGTAAATATTCCCACGATCTTTGGCTACTTATGACATAAAAACCAGATGACTTTAGGGAAAAAGTTCTTGCTATCTTTCCACCTAGAAATTAAATACTAATATATTAACGATGGTACCTTATGAACCTAAAGTTAAATGGCAAGTTATAAACCAGGAAAAATATTTGAAATAAACTATGAAGAAAAGCTAAGAAATAGACAACACTGATCAGAAAATACAGTGAAGAACAGAAGTTAAAAAAATACAAATTAAAAAGAATTAGCAAGCACATGGAAAGCTGTCAAACCCCATTAACAGTCTAAGAAATGATCTCCAATTGAGCGTACTATCTTTCAACTTCTGATCAGAAACATTAAAAATTAAACGTGGATTCCTGAAGTAGACTCCACAGGTTCAAAATCTGTCTCCACCACTTAATAAATGTGTGACATTGGGCAAATTAATTTATCACCAAATCTCGGGTATTTTTTTCTGGGGAACCATAGGATCTGCTAAATTTGTTAGTGGGTTTTGTGGGGCTCTGTCTGTGCCGGGGCAGGTTCCGTCTTGACTTTTCTGGAGTCCAGTGAGCCCATCGTTTCTGTCGTGGCTTCTGGGCGCGGGGTGCAGGCTTGAGCAATCTCCGCCTCCTCTGCAAAAGGGGAGGATTCCCAGATTTGGTCCGAGGTCTTCACCCGTGACTGGAACGGTTTTCCCGTGTTGTCTTCCCGGGAGCCCGGCCGCCTCTAGTGAGGGCTTTGGGAAGCCTGGGCCGCCGGAAGCGAACGCGGTGGACGGGACCAGACCCCGCGCCGAGGTGCCCGCGATCCGTGCGGGTCCCGCTGCCGCTCGCGCCGGTTGTCGGGCGCCACCTGGCGGCCGCTTGTACATAGCGGCTTCCCACCTGTGCGCCGGCCCAAGCAGAGTTCCAGGATGCTGGCGGGACTAGCCCGACAGACCCGGTGGTGAAGGGTGTGGGCGAATCGTCCGGCGCCGGGAAATTGAAATTGCACGTGCAGCGTTTGGGGAGTGGCTATGGCAGCGCTCTCTGACCGGCCTGGGGTTGCAGGCCGCCCGAGGGGTCGACCACCGACACGCCGGTGACCAGCGCCTCTTCCCCCGTTCCATTCAACCCGGCACCCGCACAAAATCCCGCCTGCGAACAAGGGATATAGAGCCGAGGTCTTCAGCCCCTGTTGAGACCCAGAGCCTGAAAAGTTTCTTTTCTCTAAGTGCGAGGTTGACGCAGACTCAGGCATTGGGCCTTGCAGCTCCAAGTCCATAGTGGAACAGCCGGCCAGGCATGGACCCAGAACCGGACCCAACTTGGAGGCTTAAGGGGTAGGCCAGCCGGCCAGACATGTGCCTCTAACTATGTGGTTCAAAGTTCTTGACCAACTGGTCATACCATAACTCAACTGATTTTGTGACTCCAAATCCAAGGGTAAGAAGCGAGCCAGACCCAGACCCAAACTTGGACTCAGCCTGAAGACTCCCAAGGTCAACCAGCCTAGAGGCTCCTGAGGTTGACCAGCCAGCCAGACACCCATGGTACAAGTTCAGCTGGCTAATCAACCTCAGACTTAACTGCCGCAAAGCCTGATGCAAGAGTCCTGGTCGACCTTGTGAGGCTCCAGGCCAGACAATCCAGATGGGATCTTTCGGGCCAACTCCTAGTCTGGGTCCAGTTCCTGTGGGCTGCTGGAGCCCCAAGGCCCGTGGCTTAAGGCTGGAGACCAGAGTCCACGTCCATGTCCGGCTGGTAGAACATCCTTGGAATTTGATCTGCAAGGCCTGATGCACAAGTCCAGTCCAGGCGGCTCGTCAATCTCACCAACCTCCAGGCCAAGTCCTAGTCTGGGTCTGGTTCCCGCCCTCTGGTGGATAGGTAACTGGATAGAGTTGTGGTGTACTCAATGGACTACTACTCAGCAATTAAAGAAGATGAAACCTTGCCTTTTGTGACAAGCAGGAGGAGAAACCAACTTTGTACCACCATCCTGTAAATATTTCTATATCTGACCCCTCTCCACTGCACCACTCCCCTACAGGAAGTTGATCTTTTTAATGGAATGAGATGAGCAAAGAAACACTCTTTACCTTTGCTGATAAATAGTGTTTGTAGTAGTACAACTGGAACAGCAGAAATGCAGAACTTGTCAAAGTTAAAAGGGCCAAAATCACGTTCTTATTAATTCTGCTCATTAGTCTGCAGTGTGTCCTTGGTTGTCTTTTGAAAGTAACTCCGTCGGTTTCATCTTTTTGGATAAGAAGATAACCTTGTTTTCTGTGAACAAAAAGTTATTTCTAAAGAGACAAAAACCTGTTTTTAATTCTGTGCAGCTATTAACCAGCAACAGAACAAAGAAAAAGTTATCCAAAGTTCTACAGAAAGAACATTCTTTGATTTAGCAATTTCTTATTCTAAAGAAATCATCAGACATAAGATTAAAGATGAAAGGACAAAAATGTTTATTAACATGGCAATCCTAACAATTATAAATAACTAAAAACATAAATGGGATATTAATAAGAAGTGACCAACAGAGATTAGGAAGCTTCCCCCTTAGTAGATCTGGATTTGCATTTCTGTCAAGTTCCCAGATGATGCTAATATGCTCACCACAGAGAAATCAAGAAAATTCCTTTATTTTCTATAATGTCAAGGCAATTCAATTTCAAAGGATTATTAGCTTGTCAAAACATTCCTTTTTTGCTTGCACCATTTCTTCATTAGGAATGTACTGACATAACACTTTAAAAAGAATAATTTGATACTTTCAAAAAGAGAAACCAGTGCTTATTGAGTTCAGTTCAAAATCTCTGGTGTCAAACTTTTCTTTTTTTTCACTGTCGTAATTTAGGTTCTAGTTTTACCTAATGTCCTAATTTTAATTGATGCCCCAGTCCCCAATTTCTATCTACCAACAATCTTATCTGTAAATTGACAGATTTATGAAGTTGCTGATAGTTACACCACAATCAATTCTTTGGTTCTATTTTCATCTACAAATAATCGGCACCTACAAATACAGTCTGAGTAAACGCTGGTAAATTTTCTAAACTTCTTCCCACTTCATAGACTCTCTGGGTTTTGCACAAATATTCCTGGAATATAGATCATTTTTCCGCCTCTGTGCTTTTGCTCACTCCCTCTTATCTTAAATACTCTCATCCATTTCAACAAAACAAATTCTACACTGTTTTCATTCTTTCTCTCAGTAAGAAAGGATCAATCCTGACACAACATAAAGATGATGTGTAGTTTAAATTAGAATGAGGTGAGATTCAAATATGCCTTCACTGTGAAATAAAACAGAAGGCTAAGCTATAGAGTTCATGAAAGAGGGTAGTGTAATTAGGTAAAGGCATGGTGAGAGATGTGGTAACAATGGAAAACATCAAGGGAAAATGCTTCTGAAGATAAATACATGACATATAGTCTTCCCCAAAATGTTCAGATAGGTTTTTTCTAATATATTTTGTCATGGTTTGTGGAGCTAAGGTCAATCAGGGCCCTGAAACTTTTAACCAACCTTGTGGCAAAGCAAATATTTAGAGGATCTGGCCTTGCCATATGATGCACTCTCTCCTTGACATGTGAACTTCCCTCCTCTCTGACACTCCAGATCCCTATCCCATTCATTAGTTCAAGAATATGAGTCCTCACATAGTGTTGTCACCTCAATTAAAAATATACCACATTGGGCCTCCCTGGTGGCGCAGCAGTTGAGCGCTGGGTTGCGAAGCTGCCCGCAGTCTCTGCAGCGCCGGTTTGATCCCTGGCTGCTCCCTGGCCACTGGAGGAGGGTCCCGCATGGCGCACAGACCTCTCCTGCCGCCTGCTGCTCCCCTCAGCATTGTACTTCGGTCCTTCTGCCTGCTCTGCTCCCTGCTCTGGCTCTGGTGAATTCTCTCACCCTCCCACGCTTCTGACTGTACCCAGTGCTTGTATAAATAAATAAATAAATCTTTTTTTAAAAAAAAAAAAGAAAACAAATTGGTAAAGTGTTTTAAAAAAAAAAAAATATATATATATATACCACGTCAATTCTCCATTCTTGACTAGCCTAAGGAGAATCCAAAGGGGTAGGGGAACTTTTCCTCTGTACCCTAACAAAATCAACATTTTCAGCTATTCTAAGCCACAAAATGCCCAGTATCAATAGATGCTATTCAAATGACCCTAGATATTGCTGCTCTTCCATATTATTAATTTCCTTTTTTTCCACCAACTTCTCAAAAAAAAAAAAAAGTATGTCAGTACCTAGAAATAAAGATCAGGTTGAAAGGACTTAAGAGGTCCCTTCATCTGCTTATCACTCATTTACTTCTTAATCTTCTGCAATATAACCTCTATTTTAATATTGACACTTGAAGATTTAAAAAAAAAACAACAACCTAGTCTCTCTATTTCATTCTCCAGGAAAGTTGTAAATACATACTGACTCTTTTCCAAATGACAATGGAGTAGTGAGGTTTTAGAAGGCAGCTATGCTCACCAGTATACCACCAATGCTGCACCAGTAATGAGGTTTTACAAAGAGAGAATCTGAAATGATAGACCTAAATAGGAAAGACTAAGTAAGAAAAAAAATGACAATAGGCAGAGATTGATACAAAAAGGAGCAAAGTAAAAAGATGAAGAAAGTGGTACTAAGCCTGATAAGCCTACCATTCTACGCATGATATAAAACCTGGATGGATGTTCACCAGTGGGTGGTTGTTCACTTTACATTCTCTTTCTCTTAATCATTTTATTTGTTATATTTCCCCATATCTACAGACTAATTACTACTTATAAATATTCCTTCACTTATGCTTTTCATTCTATCTACACTGCTTTTTCCTCCCTACCTATCAAACAGAGCACAGGCTCTGAAAAGAAGCTGCTGTCAATCCTACCCTGCCACCTGCGGAAATATGACCTGGCACAGGTTAGTTACTATGCACCCAAGCACCCATCTTTACAATAATCTGTAAATTGTATCTGACTCACAGGGTTGTTCTAAGCAGTAAACAAATTTAATACATGCAAAGCACTGAATAGCCCCTAGAATGCAGGAAATATACAATAAATGTTAGCAATAATTAAGATTCAACGAAAAGATCTATTGATAATTCCCTCTTTTCTCAGTTAAAGTACTACATATATATCTCCCCTGTATATCAGCACTGTATATTTGTACTATTTTTTACAGTCGGCCTTAGTTTACAGTAGAGGCAGATTATCATAGATGAACTCAAAAGGCAACTTTACACATATGATGGACCTCTATTGCCCCAGAAGAGCTCTGTATGGTGAGAAGAGTATAAAAGCACTTGAAATGACTGATGCATGAGAGCCACTGCAGGTGAAGAACAACAAATGAACTAAAAGAAGGACTGAGGGGGGCATCAGAAGAGAAAGGGGCGATTAACTAAATTACCCCCTCTATATAAAGCTTGTGCAGCTCCCCACAGTCCAAGGAAGAACTCCACTCTCCTTCACAGGGCATCAAAGTCCTCCCCAGCCAGGACCTAAGGTTAGCTCCCCCATTCTTCGGCCCTTCCCTTCCCCGCATCCATCCCTCCGGCCATCATCCTAACAGGCAAGTAGCGCAGCCCAAAGCAGGTCGGTCCCTTCAGGCTTCTGCACCTCGACACAGGCTGATCCCACACCTGCAATGATCTCCTCTCCGCCCCAGATCCCCTCCCAAATCCTGAGATCAGCCCGTTCCAAAGGCATTATCCCCTCCCCGGATCTTACAGGGGGTCTCGACTGCCCTCCAAAACGGATGAGAATTTCACTTGCTGACCGGTCCAGCAGGGTGGGACAGACAGGCCGAACAGACGTCCATCCAGAGCTGCTGGAAGACCGCCTCCCTAAGGGACACCCTGGCGGGGGCGCACTCAGCCTGGGGCCCGCTTCGGCCGCCGGGGGGGCGCAGGTGCCCAGAAAGCCGGGGAGACCCGCGGGACGCCCCGAGCCACCGGCGAGACTGGCCTGCAAACGCCAGGCCGCCCCGCGACCGGAGCGAGCCTCCCACGCCTTACCTCACCCAGCCGCCGCGGCCGCCCTGCTTTACGGCCCTCGCAGCAGGTGCCGCAAACGCTGCCGTCAAGCGCCGCGCCGCGGGGCCGGGTTGGCGCCCTCAGGTTCTCACGGTACCGCCCGGCCCAGCTAGTGCGCGCGGCGCAGGGTCGCCGCGCCGAGGTGGCTGCGCGCCGGGGACCTCCCGGCTCTGGGGACCTGGCACTTAACCGAAGCCCTTTCACCCGTCGCCGAGGTCACGACAACAGCGTCTCACTGAGGCCACCTGAAGATTTGGGCAGCGGAAGGTGAATCAGAACTGTTTCCCAAAGTGTGTTTGCCAGATAAAAAAGGATGAGATTTTTTAATTTTTTTTTTCCTCTCAGGCCATTGCTGGCAAGGAGGAATGTATTTTTATTTTATTTTATTTTTAATTTCCCCATACAATTGCACCCCCCTTATTTTGACCTCAATAAGGTCCCCGTCCCCGCCCCCCATAGTGTGTCTCTGGTTTATAGTTGTTTGTTGATTTTTTCTTTCTTATAGTTATTCTTTTTCCTGGTCCCTTATTTAGGTTTTCTAGATTCCTGCTATGAGTGAGACCATCCGGTATTTTTCTTTTTCTTTCTGGCTTATTTTGCTGAGCATGATCCCTTCCAGCGCCATCCATGTTGCTGCAAATTGCATGTGTTTATCTTTTTTGATTGCTGAGTAATGTTCCATTGTGTATATGTACCACATCTAAAAGAGGATGAGATTTAAATGCAAATTTCAGTCAATAACGAATAACTTCAGTGCGTTCGCTCTGCGGAGAGGGGTTCAGAAACTCCCCAAATTCTGGTTTGAGTAACAAGTGAGGTGAAGGGGAGGTGGGAAGGAGCGGCTGCAAGGAGTGCGACAGCCAGGCCCCGGCGGGCCCCTGTACTCGGTTTTGGTCTGGAAATAAACGATTCGGACCACAGTGTAATCCAAAGATTATTGTTAAAGATCAGACACGGATTAACTTTGACAGAACTCTTTCTGTCAGAACAAAGCACAAAACAAATTTTGTAACTTAACCTATACAAAAATTACTAGTCAGTCCGTAACATTTTTTCAGTAAAAACTGAAAATATTCCCTTATTTGCTTTCTGTTATTATTGGAAAGATAGAAGGGTTACCCCAGGGGTTATGACTCTTACTGGGATTTTTCTTCCAGAAAATTTAATTTGTGTGTGCGGCCCCCATGTTTTTTCCCACCACTTCTCCCACAGAGCCTCCAGTTCCCAGTCACCCCCACCCATAGTGTGATCAACGTCCTACATTTTTCATGTAAACGTATTCTGTAGATGGCCTTGGCACAGCGGTTGAGCGCTGGGCTGCGAAGCTGCCCGCAGCCTCTGCAGCTCCGCTTCGCCAGCGAGGGTACCACATGGCGCAACAGACCTCTTCTGCCGAGCCGCTGCGCCCCTCAGCAGTGTACTTCGGGCTTTCTGCCTGTTGTGCTCCCCGCTCTGGCTCTGTTGAATTCTCTCACCCTCCTGCGCTTCTGACTGTACCCAGTGCTTGTATGAATAAATAAATCTTTAAAAAAAAAAACTAGTATATATAACATGTATATGTGATTATATACGTGTGTGTGTGTCTAATTTAAAAAGTAGGTTAACACCCAGAGGAAATTATCAAGGATTAATGGGATCAACAGACACAGGTCCTAACTTGAGGGATCCAAGGTGGGAAAACTTGAGCATCAAAACTACTACTATCAAATATATAAAAATTCTTGACATGAGGGCCTCCCTGGTGGCGCAGCGGTTGAGCACTGGGTTGCGAAGCTGCCCGAAGCTTCTGTAGCGCCAGTTCGATCCCTGGCCGCCGGGCAAGGGTCCCACATGGCACGCAGACCTCTCCTGCCGCCCACTGCTCCCCTCAGCAGTGTACTTCGTCACTCTGCCTGCTCTGCACTCCGCTCTGGTTCTGGTGAATTCTCTCACCCTCCCGCGCTTCTGACTGTACCCAGTGCTTGTATAAATAAATAAATCTTAAAAAAAAAAATTCTTGACATGATTCCTTAAAAAAGAAAATTCACTAGTTATGGTTGAAAGTTGAGGGCACTAACTCATTATCCTGATAACTCGATAAAAGGAAAAATATAAATCATTTACCCTTTATTGTAAATTTTGAATTCTCAGACATGTTGGAAAGTAACAGCTAAGAACTAAGCCTCCCTTGTGGCGCAAGAGGTTAAACACCGCACTATGAAGCAATCTGCAGCCTTTGCAGCCTCTGCAGCACCGAGTTCAATCCCCGGCGGCCAGGGAGAAACCACATGGCGAAGCAGACCTATCCTGTCTCGCCCGCTGCTCCCCTCAGCAGTATATTTCAGTCTGCCTGTTCTGTTCCCCACTGTGTCTCTGGGGTGTCCTCTCACCCCCCACATCTCTGACCTGTACCCCAGCCCTTGTATGCATAATCTTTAAAAAAAAAAAAACTAGGTTAATCTATTCACCCCAAGCCCAAGTCTCTTTATTTCTAGTTTCAGCTTGCCACAAAATCCTAGTATGCATGCATGAGACCAGTCACCTCAGTCTGTACAGCCAAATACAATCCACACTCCTCACAAACTGCAGCCCTTTGGGTATAAGGGGATATACACTATAGTGCAATCCTTAGGGTAGACACAGGGAAGATGTCTGCATATTCTTGAAGCAAATTTTGGAACTAATTGGACAGGGTCCTGCTGTCTGCTACCTTGGGTTCTGTCTCTCTGGTCCAGATAGTGGGTGTGGGATTAGGGCTCCAAACAGATATAGTTCTTTGGCACCATCAGCTTTCCATTTCATGTAGAGTCACAGTAAGAGAGTGAGAATCTTGTCCAAGTCTACCAACCTATGGTATCATACTATATACTATTGGACTTGATTTTTCTATTTCATGTCACAAGTATCTTTCCATTAAAAGAATATTCTGTAACAGCACCAGTTTAATTATCCTGGTGACCTTGTATAAAAGGGGCGTAAACATAGTACTAGCACCATTAAGTATAATGTTCAATGGGCTTAGTAATGGAAACAGCTGGACAGAAAAGCACAGTACACACAATTTCCTGAGCTCTTTTCCCACAGACCTGCAGTCAGGCACAGTAGCACTGATATACCAAGGAAAGGGGCCTAACTGAGGAAGCCAACTCCCATAATGGTCTACACATTTGTAACATTTATTGGGGAGGGGAGAGAGTCAATGACATAGACATGTAGAATATATCTAGACAGCTACATAACGATGGTGCAAGTTAGAAAAGGGAAGTCTCTGAAATTCTGCTAGCTCATTTTCTCTTCAATTAAGATTGCTTGTATTTTGCTATCGTAATGGCTGCAATTAATACATGTGAGTATATGTGAAATACCTAGAAAAATGAATTAGCTTTTCAAAAGTATGTCTATTTAAAATCTTGGCATCATTAAATTTTTCTCTAGAAAAGCTGCACCATTGACAATTCATCTTTAATATGAGGGTACTGGTTTTTTTTTTAATCTTTTTCACACTCCTCCCTCTACATGATTAATGGATTATCCGTTCTCTCAGTAAAAATGATCTTAGTTACAGGCACTCTATTCTCATCTTGTCATTGACTGGCTTTCTTTTTTCTCCTAATTTAGCTTTGAGTTAGAATACAAATTGTTCCTGTTTTCTCTTAGTTGCCATCTACCAAAATGGTACAAGTTCCAAAGACAAACTAAATTCCTGACTTATACTAGTTTCATATAGCCAGTTTCATGACTGCACTGTACAAAATAGCACCTAATAACAATATGTAGCTCTTTTCATCTAAATCAATTTAAAATCTTAGTTGCTTAGTTGAACTAGCCATATTTACAGTGCTCAAGAGCTCTGCCTGTGGCTACTATGCTGGACCGCACAAATATAGAACTTTCCATCACTGCATAAAATTCTGTTAAACACTGCTGCAAAATTGTTTGGGGCAAAAAAGACTATGACTTTTAACTTCTAATCCCTAACAGTGCACTGTGGATACTTAAGAGAGTTGATAAATGCAAGCACTAAAGCAAAAGCAGAAAAAAGTTTAATTTTTTGATGAGATATTCCAGGTGCTTCTTTTTAAGAACTTGGTCATTCTGCACAGAACACACAATCATTTCAACATCAAGTAACTCCACTTTGAATGCTCTATTTTAAAGTTTAAAAACTATTTAAAAGGCTGGCTTATTTCCAAGGAAAATGCGGCAATATGCTTATCAAAACACTAGTGTGCAGCACTGAGGACATTGTAAGTGTTTCATTAATGTTCTTCAACCATAACATAAAGTTTGAACCTGAGAAATTAGAATTTTTATTATCAGAACTGCATACCAAAACCAGTCCAGATGACAGACATACCTATAGATATAGATAACACACATCTATAGATCAAGATAATCAGAAAACTATTTAATAAATATAATTTAAAGCAAAATAGGAGAGACTAACTGATTGACAAGGTTCTGAATTCTTATTTTTTATGACAATGCAACAAATATTAAGTGGGCACATATACTTTGTATCATTTATCCCATGACAGCAAACTGTTAATTGTTTAGAAAGAATTTAGGCCAAATTCAGTCTTTGCATATGGCACTGAACAGTCATAAATTGGAAGTGCAAATGCTTGGAAAGAAATATAATTTAATTCATATTATTATTCTACACTGACATACTAATGCTGTGGGAGAAATTTTACAGTTTCTGTAAGTCTTGATATAGAATAACAGACTTGATGAGAAAATACAAAAGGCCACAGGTCATGCACAAACTAAAGAATATTAAAGGGCATTTTAATCAGGGCTGTCTGTTTTTTTTAAAAAAATAACATTTGAAGTCCTGGCGATACCACTTTAAGCACATGCTGTAGCAAAGTAGATGGCATCTAGAAGTTATCTAAACCCTTAAATCCAATATTAACTGAAAATATTACATTTATATAGCATTCTACTGTTGTTGAAGTGTTTTCACATACTCCATTTTGTTCCTCACAACAGCCCTGTGAGGTAGGCTGAACAAGTTCCAATTATTTCATGTAAAAGGCAATGGAGACCCAAAGATGATAAGTGATACATGTAGAGGTCATAGATCTAGTATATGATAGAATTAAGGTCATTAATTTTAAATAAGAGAAATGAAGGCAAAATATATTTTTATCATATTCAAAATTTCAAAAACTAGTGGCTTCAAAAACTAGTATAAATACTCCTTAACTTTAGCTATTATATATTTTATAGTATGACTTAGCAATAAATTTGATTTTAAAGAGTTTCCCTTAAAAGATAAATTGGACTCCATGCTTTGGTACCTCAGAGTTACTGGAAATGTTTTTTTAAAAAAATTATGCATTCTGGGCCTCCCCTGGTGGCGCAGCGGTTGAGCACTGGGCTGCGAAGCTGCCCACAGCCTTTGTAGCTCTGGTTCGATTCCCCGTCCGCCGGCGAGAGTCCCACATGGTGCGCAGACCTCTCCTGCTGTGCCCGCTGCGCCCCTCAGCAGTGTTCTTCCTTATTCTGCCTGTTCTGTTCCTCACTCTGGCTCTGGTGAATTCTCTCACCCTCCCACGCTTCTGACTGCACCCAGTGATTGCGTAAATTAAAAAAAAAAAAGTTTTAAAAAAATAATTATGCATTCTTGTGGCCCTTAAATTCTACAAAAAGTTCTTTTGCCAATTTTGAAAATGTCTTTTGCCAATTACTCACACTTTAAAATTGGTCCAAACTTAAAACGCTCCAACCCAAATGCAAACAGAATCACCAACATACTGCCTTACATACTAAGAAATCCTCTATATGTCCATTATTCCCAAGGACCAATTTATATTAAATGGGTACCATTAAGCAATATATCAGATTAAACTAACATAGCTGAAATGATAATGAATCAACAGTATCTTATAATAACCCCAATATAACAAACACTGTTTTAATAACTGGGTAATCTGAGCAGAAAAGTACTATGGCACTTTTGGCATTTGTTTATAAGCCAATACTAACCTTTATATTTTATGTCCAACACTTTCTTTTCAACAAAAACAACATATACCAAAAGCAATCCATTTAATCCATATTATTCAGAAAGCTCAAATTATTCAAAATAATCAAATATTCCAAAGATACATCAGGACCATAAATACTTGCACAATGTGAATAAGACAAGCACAAAACTAAAACTACACTGAATGTGAGGTAATCTTTCTGTGATGATCAAGGAAACATTCATGATCTCTTATAATGCTCCATTACCAGCATTATGAAATGTATATTTTGGTTAAAAATAACTACTTTATGGTGACTTGGATCTCTAGTAAATTTATGCTGACCATACACTTTCCTAAAAGAACATATCCATTGTAAAATTAAAATGAAAAAAGAAACCTTTGCAGAAAAATTTCATGTGACTACATAAAAGTGAAACATATTATATGCAGTTAATTTGAATTTTTTACAAACTATAGCAAATTCATTTGATAAATAATTTTCTGACCTATCTGCAAAACATTGTTTTGAGGTGCAAATTTTGTTACATCATTTAAAAGCAGCAAAACTCTAACAGTAAATCAAACCACTACTTTTGGAAATTTGAATACAGAGTAAGACTGTCATATCAGACACTTTCATATTTGTCATATGAATTTGCTAATAAATGAACTGATCTTGGCCTTTTTAAAAATACGTGGTCTTTTTTAAAAAAAGAATCATGATGATGATTTGAAAATATGGTCCCAAGTACATTATTTTAGAGTAAGAAGTCTATACACCATTCTTTTCAAAATTAATACTCTGAAATGACTTTTCCATATATATCCTTTCCCAAAAATTTTACATGTTTCCAAAAGAAACAAAAATATATAAGTGTAATTTTGTGGAAAAGGTACTAGAGAAAAATTAATCATTGAGGGTACATCATGAAATAGAATTTCTTACCTTAATTAAAACCTTTTATTACAAATTATTTACTTTTATCACTTATACCACCAAGGATTAGTCACAAAAAATTAAAATTATATATGATATTGTTGTGTTTTTAATTCCATAAATGAATAAATAGAACTAAGCCACTGTGTTTCTTAAGATGATAACATGGAGAAAATTACTATTTGCTGCACAAAGTAGGTCAAGTCTAGCTCTACAGCAGCAGTTCAGGTTTGTACAGATGCCATCATAAATTTAACCCCAGGAATAAACAAGCTGTTAATACTTTCGACTTACCTACACCGACAACATTCAATGAATCACTGTACATTAAGCCTCAATGTATACTGATTTATTAAATGCTTGATGTATACATATTTACCAAAAGATAAAGACATAAGTGACATGGTCAGCCTAGAAAGTCAAAATGAATTGTGAAAGATATTTCTTTTTCTAAAGTGCTTAAGGCAATTCCTTCATTTCTTTATGCAGTTAGTAAAACTGGTTTGGAATTCAATTGCTAAAAGAAAAATGCAATATTTGGTGCATATTTTTATAAAACATCATTCTTTACACCTGTGATGCATTCATTACAGTCAACCTCTTAAGCATCCTTTTACTGACAGCAATCTTATTTGACCTGCCAAGACAAGGAGTAAGGAAAGCAATAAAGAATGTTTCTAAGGGTATATCAACTTTTCATGATATGTTAAATTTAGCAAAAGAGTTAACATTTTTTAAATTCAAATGTCAGTGAGAATGTTATCTATTATGGTCAAGTACTTTAAGACTATTTAAGTAGGCACTACCATTGATTATTTTCTAGTTTGAAAATGAGGGTGGCAAACTTTCTCCAGTTTAAAGTAACACAAATTTAAAACAACTAAATTTAATCCATACATTTTGTTCTTTAATTTTGGAGACCTTTAAAAAGAGGCAGAGTAAGAAAACCTCAGATTCTTATTTTGAGTAATAATGGTATTATTTCAAATGAATTTTCCAAATGAATATTAGAATATTTTATATGAAGAATTTCAAATGATAGCATGAGCACAGGAAAGAATCAAATGCACTCCTCCAGCCCCTGATTAACAGTTCCTTTCGCCCATGTCCCTGGAATAGAAGGCCCTCACCAGTACAACAGAATGGGCTCTGGCTTAAATATCAGTTGACACACATGGGGTATGGAACGAGAGTACGCTTAGAGGAGAAGAAGGCACTGAATTAGTAAGACGACAAAATTTTATCAGACATAATAGTAAAAAATTTTATATAAGAATTCCTGACTTTTTCTGTGTCATGTTTGCTAAAATTTATTGTATAACTGTTCACATAAAGCAACTAGACCACTAAATTACTGCTTTTAGGTTGGACTATAAAAGGGAATTATAGCTTCCTGTTTTCTTAGGTCCTGGATAACCCTGCTACAGAGAATAGAACACTTCTAAATCTCCACAAGGAACAAAAACCAAAATTATATTTGTTGGATAATCAAAAGAATCTCTCTGAACATATTTCATTAAAGGCTGCCTTACAGCCTTTAAAATTACCAACATATCACCAAACAACTATGTAGATATGAATGTCCTCCAGAAAAGTAAGACCCCAGTTCAAATGAAATTGCTCATTTAGATTTAACCAATAAAAAAAAAGCCATCAGTAAGCAGTAAACTTTGAGAAAATTAGCTATTACCATTCCACAGGTCTTTCAGTAGAAACCACCTCAAGTGTAAGCAGCAACAGTCACTTCTTCGGAGAAGGTTGTTTTAACACAATATAATTAAAATGAAAAGAAAGTCAACATGACAAGGTAAGCTTCAAAAATAAAGGAAAACACAAATGTAGACCTCTTTAAAATGCTCAAGGCATTCTTAAATACTGTAAGTACAACTTTTAGTTTGGCTCAAAGGAACTGTGTTAGAAATTTTAATCAACCTTTAAAAAATAGTTATCTGTTTGATAACCACGGGTTTTAGTCATTGTTTAACATATTTTCCATAAGTTTGAGAAAGATTTCTCCATCAATTTTTGGAAGAATTAACCCCTTTTAGAAAGCAAATGAAAGGACTGAGAGAAAAATAATCTCTGAATAGTTATGTTTGAAAAACTTAGGTGCCAAGTAAGTCAGATATGTGGATTTTTTAAAAAATTGTTCAAACTATTCCATGTATAGTTAAAAAGCAGATGTAAATTACTTCAGTAAAAGATAGGTTTAGGCACCTCCCTTTATAACCTGTCCTTCTTAGATGAAAGTTGAATAGTGTAGGTTTTTTTCACCATTCAGTAACTTTAATAAACTCATTTCTACTAAAAATGTTAAAAATCAATATATTTATCATGTATTACCAAATGCAAGTGGGGATTTTACCAGATAACTATTGAAAGTGGTTTTAAAGTAGACAACAAAATCAGAAAATATAAAGCTTTTGAAAATTTTACCCATCATGCAAAATGATGGAATGAAAAGAAGTCTATTTAAAGAAAGCAACATATGAAGATTATCCCCTTTGCCACCAGTAGTGCAGCAGGTAAAAAAACAAAATTTGGGTGATTTTAAGCCATTATGTCCACAAAATTCCTACTCTATTTTGAGTTAAACCAAAAGAAAAATATCAAAATATATGGAAAAGAGAAAATGATATAAAGCTAGCCAGTAACTCAATTTATTTATAAACCCCTATTCTAAGAAAACTTTTCTACATCTCCAACCAATTATTTCAGTTTTTAGAGACCCTTAGAGGACTATATATTTTTAAAGCTTCAGTGCAAGAACTAAATAGGTCGTAATGAGGAAAGAAGGCAAAAATTCAAATGTTTTTTCAGCCCAGGCCCTAGGACTACTAGATGTTACTATACATACTAGAAAAGTCAAAGTAATCCAAGAAACACAAAAATGGGTTTCTATACAACTAAAACACTGCCCTTTACCCCCATTTACTCTTCAAAACTTCAGATTCTTCAACATCTGCTTGCTTCTATGACACTGCGCAGGAGGTTTCTGTGAATGCTTCATACTAGATGCTTAATGCTAACAGATTCCAGGTGTTAAAGCAGGACGTAGCAAACCTGATTTCCATCATTATAAATTTCTGTGATTAGTAGCTGCACAGAAAAGGCCATTCAATGAAAAGACGGGGGAATAAACACATTCCAGTAGCCATTACTGAGTAACATTGTTTAGGCTGCTAGCTGAACCGGTCATTCCATTTTCACTTTTTTGAAATGTTCTCACAGCACTTGGAACTTGCATCCCAGTATTCAAAGAAAGTCCACCACACCAAACCTAGAAGACAAAAACACAGCTTCTATCAAATTTCAAGCCAAATTAAGAGTTTAATCGACCCTTTAATTTCCATTTGAAAAGCAGAATGCCATATACATGAACATGAAAAAATTTCAAACTTGTAACTGCTATATTTGAACTGAGAGGAAGTTGAAAGGTCTGGGAATAAGTAAAGAGAGTATTTTCACTCCAAATTCATACCAAACATAGCTATTCTACATCATACTGGCATTATAAATGAAGTTTGTATCTATGGACAAGGAAAAGTTTTTAGAAAAAAATAAGACCATTTTCATTACTTTGGGGCTAATACGGATTAAGCAGAACACAAAAAGTGCCACCCACCCATAAATAAAAATATCAATAGATTAAATAACATTTTTATTAATCAAAACACATCACTATGAGGGAAAAAGGAAAGCCATAGCTGAGAAGATACTTGCAATTGCGATAAATACATCAGGCAAAAGGCTCAGACTATTTACTACAAAATAGAACCCAATAAATAAAAGGCAAAAAAGACTTGAAAACCATTTTACAGGAGTCTATCCAAACAGTCAATAAACATAAAAATTTTTATAACAGCATGAGTCACTAAGAAAATGCAAATGAAAACCACAGTGTAATAATACATCATACTCAGAAGGACTGAATTTTTAAAAAGATAATCTTAATTGGTGATAAAGATGTGGAAGAACCTAAATTCTCATATATTGTTGGTGGTGAACTAGTATAACTGACTTTGGAAAACAATTTGGAAGTCTCCATTACCTCTGATTATATTACATACATATACCATATGATCCAGCAACCCCAATCCTAAGTATATGTAACTAATGGGAATATATACACACATTTACCAAGAGACATAAGCAAGACTATAGTAATTCTATTTGTGAATGGTCCCAAATAAAATCTACCCAAGTATCCATCAAATCAGAATGGATAAAGTGATATAATCATAAAATGGAAAACTATACGAAAATGAGTAAACCATCACCACATAGAGCAGCATGTATAAATCTCACAAGCATGTTAAGCCAAAAAGATACCATATGATTCCATTTATACAAAGCTGAAAAGGAAGCAAGATGGATTTATGATATTAAAACTCAAGTGAGTAACCACTTTGGAGGAGGGCTATTAGGAGCCAGCAATGGGTGCAAAGCGTCTTATGAGGTTGTAGTAATGGTCCATTTCTTGACCAAGATGCTGGATACAGAAGTACATGTAGTCCTGTGAAAATCCATCAAACTGCATCCTCATGATTTGTGTTCTTTTATGTATTAACATTTATTTGAATAAAATATACCAAAAACATACAGACAATTACAAGATAGGAAGATATGGGCTGGGGAAAGAGAGAGGAATATGAAGAAAAAAAATATATAAAAATAAGAGATGTTTCCCCAACTATAAAACATAGTTTATTCTTCTTAATGTTGCCAAGACAAATAAAACACAAATTAGATACTAACCATGAAACCTGGTAGGACTGGCTGAGTAAATTTTGTCTTGAAAGAATATAACAACTGTTTTGAGTTTGCATCATAGAAAGAAAGTTGACCTAAAAGGAAGGGGGGGAAGAAAGGTCTAATTTATTATACGAAAAAGTATAACGTTTTATTAAGTCACAAATAATCATGCATAAAATAACAATGCATATTTTGGCATTACTTTTGTTACAAACTGTAAGAACTGGACTAGTAATTATCACTTGAAAATCAGCAGTAAACATGTTCAATTTAAGAAAATGCCCAAATCTAATTTTCTTCTCCTGATTTTCAAGATCTCCATAGTGCTGCCATTACCTGGCACTATAGTACTTTTTCAACTATAAACTATTTTCTTATTTAACAAATGATTTCCTTTGCCTGTTTAAAAAAAAAAAAAAAAGAGCAAGGCTTCCTTGTGTTTACTATAACCAGGCTTTCTCTCTCTCTCTCTCTCTCTCTCTCTTTTTCTTTTTTTGTGGTGACATTGGTTTACAGCATTGTGATTTAGGTATAAGATCTCCTCCTTCGTTATAACCAGTATTTCTAATCAAATTCTATTACCATTTAAGATTGACTCTATTAAATCTTATCTTCTAACTACTTTAAACCTACTTCAGTCTCTAAAATCATAGCAGTTATCACTGCTGCAGCTTTGTTAATTTTTAAAACCCCCTGACCTCAGTTTGTCTTTCAACACAATCATGCAAATAAAACACCTGTCTCTCTTACCACTGAACAACCTGATCCTCCTTACAGCCATTAGCACTTTTTAAAACTCTACTCCATGATTATTCTCTTGGATTAAATCCTAGCCCTGAGAATGACTTCATTTTTTCTCCTATTCCAAATGTAGATGCTTGTCCAGGTTCTCTTTTCTCTCTACAGTATTCCCTTATCAGTTCCCACCAAATAAAAAAGAAATTAACATTTTTACCTACTATTAAAACACTGGCTACTTTATGTATACATTACCTCAAAATGTTAACTTAAATACGGTCATAATGAGCAGAGTAGTAGTAGTTTATTATTTAGTGAAAATTCCGGTAGCTGTTCTGTGATGCTATATCAAATATTTAGCTTCAGTTCTACTTCTCTTCTTGAATTCTAGCAGCAAATTTCTAAATATTTGCCAGCCATGCCACATGGTCATCCTGTTGGCACCTAATTTTCCCGTAGGACTCTTTGTTCCCTATCCTGTTGATGACACTAATATCCTATAGTTCGCACCAGCTGGAACCTGACAGTCAACTTCAACCCTTCCTTGTCTCTCCTCCTCCAGTCCATTATTTAGTTTCCAAGTCTTATGAATTCTACTTTCACACCATCATACCCAATCTTCTTGATCTTCCCCACTGCCAGCACCTTGCTACTACTAATCACTCACTCAATTAAGGGTTTACTATGTTTAAAAAAAAAAAAAAACAAAAACACTTGCCAGGGAGTACAGATATATATATTACTGAACAGAGTAATCATGGTCCTCCCTATGTTACTCAATGTATACCTTCTGAAAAGTCTTTTACTACCTGTTCTTACAATCTCATCCACATTTAACCATTTACTTGCTGTCATTTCAAATACTTGACCATCATCATATGACTATAGTTTTCTAAAATGTGCAGAATCCACTTCCCTTGACTCCTAAAAATAGAATAACCTATTTTTTTCAATGCCTTCATTCGGATCTCATTCTACATTATAACTTTTCCTTCATATGCCCTATAATCTCTAGGCTAGTAATTACATATCTCACTACTATCTTTGTGAAATCACAAAGCTTGGAAAAAAGGAGAGAAGATGAGAAGCAAATGTTAACACTGACAGTTGAAAAAGAAAAAAAAGTGCCAACAAATTGCCTTTTATCCTGAGGAATATTATTTATATGAGTCAAAGTGAATTAAAACAAGAATGTAATGAAACTGACATCTCATCACTAAAAGTAAAAACCCAAATTAACTATTTTCCTTTTGTTTAAGTAATGAGGTTGATAGTTCATGGAATTATGTGAACACAATGTTACTTAAACGGTAAAATTGCCTTTATTAGGTAAAAATGGCAACTTGGAGAGAAGTATCCAGGTAATTGCTTTTTCCCTAATTCAACACTACATCATCTTCACAATTTTTTTTTACAAATATTTAGAGGTCGGTAGAGAATATACTCATCAAACTAATTCAAAAGCTTAAAGAAGTTTTTACAAAAGATAAATATCAAGTTTAATTTTTAGAAGACTTTCTGGAGGGAAAGCTTGGCTAAACATATTAAGATAAAATTTAAGAAGGATATGTAATATTCTTCACTTAAGTTACAAAAATGGTATCACTAAGTAGCCCAATATAAGCAGGAAAAGACAATTTGAAAGAACATCATGAAAAAAGATCTAGTGGCTACATATTCAATATAGGTCACCAGGGCCATTAATCACATTAGAGATTATGTAGCCAAATCACTGTCCTTTGCTGGTCAGAAGCTGTTCTAATCTAAGAACCAATCTTTAAAAAATATATTGACGTAGTACACAATCATAGGAAATTAGAAAGGTCTTGGAAAATTCTGAGCAACAGCTAATGATACAGAGAATGTTTAGCCTGGAAAAATAGGTCAAGAGAAGCAATGTCAGTAGTTTTCAAACTACAAGGATTATCAAGTAAATGTGGATTAGGGAAACATAATTGTACATTTTATCATATGACAAAATTTAAGAGCAACAATCTCAGAAGTTACTAGGTAAAAAAGTGAGTCAATTCAAGAAACACTTTCTAATCAACTGCTGTCCAACAAGAAACAGGCGGTTTACTGAATTCTTCATGGGAGTGGCAACCGCCTGCATATATAATGTAATTAAGGATTTTATATCATGTGGCAGATGGATTGGGTAATTTCTAAGATTTAGTTCAACTTGAAAAATATGACATCATCTCTCTTTTAAAACAAGGTAAAGGAAGAAAGCAGAAGTGTAATGAAACTGATATGAGCAAAAATGAGCAAAATCTTTCTTTCTGATACATTTAGTATGTTATAGAGAAGTATTTCTACAAGGTTCTGGGTTGCTATCACATATCCTTTGAGTCAGTTCTAGAGCCAAAATTGATCAATTCACAGTATGTCAAAACAACCTTAACCACAATACCAAAGGAAACTCTATATAAATGATTACCAGTAAAGATAATGAAAAACTACCAACTATGATAAAAGAACTTATGAGAAAGTAAGAAAACTTACCCCCATCAAAATCACAAAATACACCTATTCTCTCAGGAACAGTAATATCCAAGGCTTTGACTTTATTATTGTGCTTTGCTGCAAATGTGTTTTGTAGCCAGTTGTTGACATGGATACACCAACTAGTATTTGTCTTTCCTAACTGATCAAATTTCCCCAAAGTCTTATATGCTACTCCCACACTGTAGGATTTACAATCCTTCTGGGCCTTGACCTCCCAATAATGTTGTCCACTTTCAATAGCAGTGTCTCCTACAAAAGATCAGAAAGACATATTTGACTCTTAACCTCCTCTTTATCAACACACAGATTTTCACCTCTTTCTCTCTCTTTTTTAAAAAGATTTATTTATTTTTATTTATACAATAGCTGAGGTACAGGCCAGAGGTATGGGAGGGTGAGAGGATTTGCCAGAGCCAGAGCGGGGAGCAGAACAGGCAGACAGATCGAAGGCACTGCTGAGGGGAGCAGTGGATGTGACAGGAGAGGTCTGCCACGCCATGTGGGAATCTCCCTGGCTGGCCGGGAATTGAACCGATGCTGCAGAGGCTGCGGACAGCTTCACAGCGCTGCACTCAACCCACTGCACCACCAAGGAGGCTCTCACTTCTTTCTCATCCCACAGAATGGCACAAAAATTTTGAATAATCATGTTAGCACACAGACACTAAATGTAGAGTATCTACTATAATTTCACTTTGTATTTATAACTAATTTTTCTGAATATAAAAGGCTTCAGAACTTTTCTTCCATACTAGCCCCTCAAAGGTTAGAAAAATACGTGGAGTACTGTATTGAGTTTTAGCCACTTTAGACAATAGTAAGACAACTTAAAATCCCACCAAAGTAATCAGGCTTCTGCAAAGATTTATTCAATACACAGGCAGTCACTCCAGATCTCAATGAGTGAAAGCCCATCAATGTGACTGTGAGTAACCATGATGTTTATCCTACCCAGCACTGTGTATGATTCCCCAGTAAAACGATCTCTGCTGCCTCTCACTGCTGGTGGCCTGGAGCCTACAGATGTCCGTTTGGGGGATGGTGTACCACTTCTATAAAGGAACACAAAGAAAAACAATTATGTTGTAAATGTTTCACAAACTAAAATTACAAATCATGGAAGGAACATGTCAAAAGATTTCTAAATATGTTGTAAAAATAACAGCACTTAATTTTATCTAAATTAATATACAACAGGTGTCAATTATAAATACTCAAATTTAAGAAGTTATTTAACATTAAGCAGGCTGAAAATACTAATATCATGCAGACAGTGAGCAAGGCTTAAGCAAAGAACACAGTTTAAATAAGAAACAAAGTCAAAATGAGGTAAGACAAAAGGAAAATAACTGAAGAAAAAAGAGAACCCAAGAAAGATAGTGTACTATACGCTGCAGCTAAATTAAGTAAAAGCAAAGGCAAAAATAGACTACTTATAATCAAAATGAAATAACCATTTTAACAAGCAGTAGGTATTTTGTTCTGGGTCACCTGGATTTCTTGAACTCATGCATATGACAATATCAAGTATTATAAAACATTTCTTACTAAAACGGACAAGAGCCATCCTGACCTCCCCTTTTATAAAATTATATGACAAAGTAAACTGAACAGTATTATGCCTTTCACTAACTCTCAAAAATTCAAAATAGATCAAATCCCATAGATTTTAAAATAAAATAAAATTTCAATTGAATGACTGCATTAGAAAAAAAATTATTGTAACTTACCAGTGTAAAAGAAATTAAGGGAAAGCATGGAGAAAAGAAAAACAGGTATCTACTGAGAACAGCAGTTTAAATTTCAGAGGAAAGTAATTAAGGAGAATTCCCATTGTGGCATTCTAAACTCCAAATCCAAAGTACACTTTTGAAGAAGTACAATGGCTATTATTATCTTATGTCAAACAGGATCTCTACCTCCCACCCCCAATAAGACATCTCAGTCACTCACCTATCTGAATAAAGGCTCTTCGTTGCATATATTCTGGTCGTTATACCAGCTTCCAAATGATCTCTTTATTACCTGTTTCATTTTATTCACTGTTTACCAGATAAACCTAAGGATGATTTTCTTACTTTGAAATAGTCAGGTACTTCCTTACTGTTTATAAACAACTTAGTTTAGCATTTCAGGTTGTTCTTGATTTGCTCCCAATCTGTTTTTTGCTTTCTCACTTTCAGGGAGCACTATGCAGCTAAATGCACCATTTAGAGTTCCTTCAACTCACACAATATGCTTCATTGCCTTTCCTTTTGTTACTCCCTCTATCACTTCAAATCCAAATGCCACAAATTCTTCCACTTCCTCCAGAACTAGTTTTCATTCCTTTAATGAAGGTCTCTCAGATCCTAGCAGTTAAATAACTCTTTTGAGAAGTCTAGCTCCAGGCCCAAATCCTGTATGTGACCTTTCAGGTCCATAGGCAATTATAAGGTTTTACCTGGCAGACCTAGGGTGGGGTGGGGGCGCACATATGTGTCTGCCTTCTCCACACCACACTTGTTACAGAACTAGTTCACTGCAATGTTTGGAGTCCTACCTCCATCCAATGCTCATATGCATATCGACATTCCTAGTTTAGACATTTCTATTCAGAAGACTCCTTGGGGAATGAGGGGGATACAACTGAACTAGGAATGGAAAGTCTCAGCTGAGACCTCTTGCAGCAGCTTCTGCAGAGATCCTCTTACTGGGGGCAGAGGTAGTGATGTGGGAGGGTTTCTTCGCTCTGTCTCAGTATTTATCTACTCCTAACCTTTCCCAACTCTAACCATCTTCCTGGCCTTCAGATCATAAAACAAAGCAGCAGCAACCTTTTATTTGTGGCTTCCTAGGCAGTGAGATGATCCTCTAGATATCCTTCATCTGCGATCTGCACTGATTTACTTACCTGACCCTTACATGGTGCCATTCTATGGAAAAAACGGCAGACCGTGGGAGCTAGCAGCCTTTTCTTTGCCGCCTCTGACTTTTATACAATCAGGGTAAGGAAATAGACTTGATTACTGCTTTCAGTTTGGTTCACTGTCCTGACACTGATTCAACACTTAGAAGTTCAGGACACCTTCTTCTAAACTCCTTTATCCGTACTTACTTTACACATGATTTCTATTTTGTATTATTATTTGTATGTGGACATGGATGAATGATATAGATATACTTTTCTACATACATATATATATATAAAATTTACGTAAGTTAGGGTAAATTTCTTGAAGGAAGAACCAGAGTTTACTACTATAAACCTTACAATATCCAGCAGACATGCTACAGTGAACAAGCATTTATGATAAGAATAATATATATTTCTATAAGTAGCTTACATATATAATGCCATAAAAATAATAATACCCATCCCTTGAATAATGTGGAGGTTTCCCTTCCTCTCAGTTTAAACTTTGAGTATAACTTATAGTTAGTCCTGGTTATATACCAAGGGCTCAACCAACCCTGTGTTGGTCCAGGGTTAACTGTTACCTGAAATGTTAAATACAAGCAGTCTAGAAATCTCCAAATGACCAAATGAAACTTCCCAGACTCTATTAAATCCAGCAGCACTTTACAACTTATAGGATAGTGAACACACCTACTATGAATCATTTTTACCAATGAGCAAAAAGACCGTAGGGAGGAAGATAATTCTAAAAAGAGAACATATATCAGTTTCTGGTAAAAAGTGGTATCTTCAAATTAACACATTATTACTTGTGCAATTTGAATTGATTCATCTTTCTAGCACTGTCCTAATAATCACTTCAGCAAATGACCTTTATTTTTTATCCTTGATGCTTTTGAAACTGCATGAGTAATAGAAAATATATAACATTTCGAAACCTACCTTCTGTCAAATACAAATAAAAGCAATACTATATGTTAGATATATTGAAAACAGCACAAGAAAGATGCCAGGTGTAAATAAATGCAGGGGAAAAAAATCAGATGAGAGAAAATAATTCAGGAAAGACTTCAAAGCAGAGTTATTGTTTTGTTATCATTTATACTAGAATCCAAATAATATGCAGCACACTATAATGCCATAAATTCAAAACATAAGCTACCAGGGCAGACAGTCTACACAAAGCAGTATTTTAGTTTATCAAAGCTGCTGCAATGGTATCTGCTTATTAGTTAAAAGAAAAAAATTAAAGTTATTCAGCCAAGCTAAATACTAAGTCCTAGAACTAGACAGACACAGATTATCACCTTGAGTGTTTCTTCAGTGAAGTAACATGGACACTGTCAGATAAAAATAAGTACCTGTTAAAAGACTGTGTCATAATTTAATAGCTTATTATAATAGCTTATTATCAGAAGTTTGCCACGGAATTTTTTTTTATTCACTATTGTAACACACTGTACGATAACCTTAAGTTTGAGCAAAATTTTCCTCTACTAAAAACGGGATCCATATTTTCAGACTATTTAAATAAGTGTGAAACAACAAAGACCCTCAAGTTTGCCTTTCAGTTGAGAAGGTGGCTGATTAGGGTAAGATACGGGAGTTGAACACACTAAAAACTGTAGATGCAGTCAATGCAGACTTTCATATAATACAGGTGATATATCAGCCTAAAATTCAGGAATTGTACTAGGAACCTCTCTCTAAGCAGTTTAAGCTGCTGTACATAAAACTTTAAAGAAATGCAATACTGAAATAGAAAATGTATAAAGGGGTCGGTCTCCCTGGTGGCGCAAGCGGTTAAGACTCAACCTATGAAGCCATCCGCAGCCGCTGCAGCACAAGTTTGATCCCTGGCCGGGGAACTACCCACATGCCACAGCAGGCCTCTCCTGACTCTCCCGCTGTTCCCCTTAGGAATGTATTTCAGTCACTCTACCTGTTCTGTTCCCCACTCTATCTTTGGTGAATCCTCTCACCTCACGCACCTCTGGCCTGTACGCCAGCTCTTGTATGCATAAATAAAGAAATCTTTAAAAAAAGGTTTAAGAAAGAAGAGGACTGTGAAATGCTAATGACAAATTTAAGGACTAACAACACATTCTTCACTTTGGTATTAACTAACATACCACAAATCATATTGCTACATAGGATAACAATTTCAATGTAAGTCACTGTCAAGAATCAATTTAAAAGCACGAGTCCAGATAACAGATATAATGAACTGGCTTACCTGCCCTTGTTCTCTTTTCCTTTAATTTTATTTTCTTGACCTTTTCCTCCTGTGGGATCCCACTCTACACAGCTATCTTCAACTCTCAGGTTCAAATGGGATGATGAGTTATCCAAAGCGAAGTTAAGTGCTATCCAAAACAGTATTTCAATTTTTAAGAAATATAGCTTATCTTCAGTGTCAAAAGCACAGCTATCCCATTATTTTCCATTTATTCGACTGAATATTATATATTAAGAATCAAGTTCAAATTTCTGATCCTACATTTAAAGCCCGTAATAATAAGGCTATAATTTATTAATTTCTACTTTATTTCCCCTTATACTTTTCTGTCTCTCCTACCTTCCAATAAAAAAACAGTACTTGCTTGGTCACTGGAATTTCTGCTAGAAACTCCAACACATAATAACCTTAATTTCCCGTTATTAGAATATCAGTTGAGGGCCTCCACGGTGGCGCAGCGGTTGAGCGCTGGGCTGTGAAGCTGCATGCAGCCTCTGAAGTGCCGGTTCAATCCCCGGCTGCTCCCCAGCCGCCACCGGAGCAGGGTCCCACATGGCGTGCAGACCTCTCCTGCCGCCCACTGCTCCCCTCAGCAGTGTACTTCGGTCCTTCTGCCTGCTCTGCTCCCCTCTCTGGCTCTGGTGAATTCTCTCACCCTCCCGCGCTTCTGACTGTACCCAGTGCTTGCTTGCTTGCATGCATACATACATACATACATACATACATACATACATACATACATACATACATCTGAAAAAAAAAGAATATCAGTTGATTAATAGTTAACTGTTATAACCAAACAGGAAGCAGAGCTGACAGAATTATAAATGAGGAAAAAATGATGTGGTGTCAAAAATTATAGCCTGGCATACACATTTTCTTTCTGATACTGCAATACTTAATAATTTCATACTTAAAAATGCTCCATAGTTTCAAATTAAGACAAAAAAGGGAAAACAGGTCATGCTGATTTACATGGCCAAAGAAGGTGGGGAGTGGAGGAGAGCACTCAAATTACAACAAATTTAAAAACCTGTGTCAAAACTATATTTTTCAAATTTCAAATGGGCAGGGAGAACTGCCTATACTACTCACAAGATTTTATCAGAATTGCTAATTTAGGTAATCAGTGTAACAAGGTATTACCTTCTCTCTTTGGTAATTAAGGGGAAATCATTAACATGTACTGATTCACAGTTAGTACTGCATAGGTCATCCTATATTAAAATGTATTTCCTAGAATCTTGTATTAAAGCAAGATTTCACCTACTACAATTAGCAACTAGTCTGCTTTGGTTAGTTATATTTCCCTCTAAAAGTTCAAATGTCTGGTAGTTACTCATTGAAGGAATATTCCCTTATAATATTTCACTTAAAGATATTGCTTGATTTAGCTAAGGCTTTCAATGTCTATGAACTATGCATCATCAGATGACAAAATAATCATAAAAAGAACCTACTGTGTTTGTTTACCAAGTGAATCAAGAATCCTTTTATACTCTGCTATTCTGCAAAGAGCACTTTAATCTCAACTATGCCTCTGACCCATTGTTCATTGTCTTTACTAACAAAACAGCATTCTAAATACAAATCAACTGAGCATAACCACTTCTAGTATATCTCCTACCGTGCAAGTTAATAGTTTTTAAAACTTGCATCCAAGCAGAAGTGAACAAAATACAAAATGTGGAAAAAGTAATAAAGCTTTTCAGTAAAAATTAAAATAGAATTCCTTAATAGGTGGGTTACTGAAATTTTAGGATTAAGCAAAATTGAGACCTGTCCAGTGAGTTTCAGTCTATCCCCATCACAGGGGGTTTACCTCACAGTAACAAATGCCCAAAAGGATTGGAATCAACTTAGTCTTTCTCTACACATATAAAGCCCAAGAATTTGGCTAGTTAAGGTACAAACACTATTAACAGTCACAGTCAGACCAACTCTGAAAATTATGAGCTGATTTTCATTTTCCTGAAGTTATGGAAAGTACACTGAAATGTACACCTCACCATATATAAGTCCAAGTTTGGTCACTAAGTATAAAAGGTAAATGAGAAGGAAAAAAAGAAATAAAAAGATGTGGTGCTCAAAAATATAAATAAAAACAAAGATGATGCTCTACAGGGGGGATTATAATAAGAATTTTTTTTTCCTGGCAAGAGCTGAAAACAGTCCAAATTATGTAGAAAAGATTATCTGCCTATACCTATGACTAAATAAACCACAGTAACATCTCAGAGTTTGATAATACTTCAGAATAATAGCATTTCCTGGCTAAGTTATCTATACTTCTCAAATAAAAACACTACCAATCCCAACAAGTTACTTCAAGATAGTTTTGTTAGATCTCTGTGATGCAAACATATTCTTCTGAATTTGTCTTATCCTTAACTTACAGCTCTCAAATTTTTATTCTTATAAAATATTCTCATATTTTTATATTTTTCTCTACATCATATCAAACTTCTGGCAAGCAAACCTATTCAAATGTTACATGAAGTAGAAGTCTACAGAATAGTTAAGGCCCAAGTACCTACAATAATATATAGAGTCTAGCTGTAGAAGTAAACCCAGTTAATTATTTCATAACTGGGAAAATCTCTAGCATTAAGATTTTAAAATGAGTAAATACCGAGATAATCTTCTATGTTAAAATACATCATTTAAGGGAGTTTTAACTAAATCCAAGTTGCTCTCAGAGACCAGAAGCATCTAGGCTCCAGGCACACAGTAAGGGATGGTAGCAAACTTGGAAATCACAATTTTTCCAAGCTAGTTCCAGGGACTATGGGCAAATCATTTAATATTTGAACTTTACAAGATTTTTCATCTATAAAATGGATCAATAATATCTTTTCAACTTCTCTCTCAAGATTTTAATTATGAAATGAAGAAATATTAAAGTACTTTGTAAACATCAACAAACTATATAAATGTCCACTTCTGCAGTAAGATTTAAGAAAATATAGAGGCCCCGACCTAAACTGATAAGGTCCTTTCCCAATATTGAGTCATAATCTAATTCCTGGGAAAATCTTGGCCAATCTCAGTGATACTTATGTATTTACAGACTGAACTTTGTAAACTAAGCAGCTGCCAACAAATACAACAGTACTGTCATTAGATTATTTTATCCATCTGAATACTATGACAGAGAAAAACCTAATGAAACCACTACTGTAGTGCTAATGTCTCTATCTTATCACTCCTATTTTTGGGAATCAGAGAGAGAGAGAGAGAGAGAGAGAGAGAGGGAGAGAGAGAAAGAGAGAGAGAGTGAGAGAAGCAGAGAGAGAGAGAAAATATGCAACCATACATGAAATGGATGTCAAGAAGATCTGAATAACTTCAAATGTTAAATTTTGTGTTATGCTAGATAAATAGCTATTGATCTTACCTTTTGTCTCTAGGGTCACTGGATCAGAATACTCTCCAGCCACAGCCTTGTTACAAGCTCGCACTCTGAAATTCATATACTTTGAATCAAATTTTAAGCCTGAAAAAAAGAAAATCATTTTCAGATATGAAAAGGAATATACTCCAAAAATATGTGTATAAAACTTCAAATAGTTATTTTTTCCTCCTTGGAACTATCTTTTTACTTAGGAAAAGTACAAATATATGTTAAAAAATCAGTGGTAAGAAGGTATTCTCTATCTTCATCTTTTTATTCAAGAAAAGATAACACAATTTAAAGTAATATATGCAACTTCTAGAAAGCAGAAACCCTAAAAATTTTGTGTATTTATGAAACATTTTTTATGTGAAAAATTAATTTAACGATAAAATGAAGCAAAACTTCACAGCAAAACTGTGAAGCCAGTCAGATCTAGACTAAAATCTCAGTCCAAACATTATTAGCTATGAAACTTTCAACAACCTGACAGAGCCACAGTTTTGTATCTGTAAAACAGAAATGATAAAGCCTATCTTATGATTATAAAGACGAAATGAGATGTCAGGTTGCATTGTGTGAAAGACTTCAACCTAATTCCTGACAAATGTTTAGTGCTCAGTAATAGTAATGTCAATATTCATGCATGAAAGCACTGAACAATATTTGGCCATTTCAAATATTCAAAGTCCCATTAGATGGAATTATCTTTAAAAACACTCTTAGAACACCAACACAAATTTTCTAATACCAAGATGCAACTCTACTTTAATTATTATCATGAAGGTAATCATAGAAGTATCAAGGAAACAAGATTTAAAGTATCATTAAAATGTAGGGTAAAACATACATCTAAAAAGTTAATAGCATTTTTTATTGGTAGAAAACCAAGGTAAAAATGAAATATTACCCTGAAGTATTTTGTTTACAGAACATCTCTTCGTGTTTGTATCACAATGTTCTACCAGGCTGCAAATATCCAGAAGTGCTTAAATGAAATATTTTTTTTTATATTTTAGGAAAATTCACTTCTATATTGAATATATAAAAAGTTAGCTCAGTTAAAGGAAGAACAATACTTTATCTTTAAAAGTAATGCAAAATATTTTTCATAATTACATTTGTTTTCTGAGGATGATTCATGAAATGTATTTGCTTTACCTGACAGTGTATATTCAGTACCCTTAATATTATCAACTAGCTCCCAGCATCGCTCATCCTTTACACGTGGAAGTCCATCAAAATTAGTCTTCCTATATTCCAGTATAAAATGGTCAATCTTATTATCTTCTTCTGGCATTCTCCAGGATACTGTTACAGCATTGTCAGCCACCAAACACTCTACCGGATCAATCTCTGGAGCTTTGGGAACTGAATTAGAAAAAGAGAAAAACTTATTTCTCATTTATTATAATACTAATCAAATACTTAATGTTAGTCATTCACACTACATTTTTTCATATTGTTTTTGAATTATTAAATCGAATTAGTCTAAAAAAGAAATACCTTAGAAATGCAAAATGACTATTTTTCAAAGCTCCACTTAAAAATTTAGGTTTCAAAGATTTTCATAAATTTATTTGGCAGAAAGTAATTCAAATATTCTAAGGATACAGAATCAAGAATAATTTGTTACTTTTGAACATATACTTTAAACCTGCTAAAGCAGCTATAAAAATAAACCATTGACAAAAATAGAATAAACTGCTTTGAAACCAAAGGTTAATAAGAAAACTTCACCTTTTGAGATTTATTTCCTACCCTGAAATTTAGTTCCCTATTTCCCCCATAAGTAAACCTTTGGTTTTATTCTACTTAAAAGTAAAATCTCAATTAACTGGTTATGTAATATTTTGACATATTGCAACCTCAAATTTTCACAACTAAAATAAAATCCAGTCTCTTGCCAATAATATTGATTCTAATGATGGAAGTAACCAAACTACTTTAAATTACCTGGTGTTCTAAATACAATTTTGAAAAATGTGTATTTCTCCTTTAATGCAGTTTTACTCTTAGAGTCTTGTGAGTGAATATAAAAAGGTTACTAATTCTCAAATTTCAAAGTATATGTAGATACTCACTGACAAGTTATACTTTCTTCCTCTATAACCATGGTTCCCTTCTCTCACGCCTTCCTCCTATAAACTCTCCTAAAACATTTTATCTGTAACATAAAAATTAAAATTTCCCTTGGTACTACCCCTACTAGTTCCATTATAGTTTCAGGACTACTACTTAGTCTTTTCAATCATATTTTAAAGTCTCTAACCATATATTCGGAGAATGGTTTCATACAATCAAAACTTCCTATTCCAAAACAGGTATGCTCCCCAAAATAAAAGGTCATTATAACAAACCACCTATAAATAAATCACTTCACTTTCAAGAGCTATGTTGATTCCTCAAATCATTCCTATATCAAGTTAGCACCATTAACTTGATATAACTACAAGGAGAATACTGACCTAAAAGTCCTTAACTGGCTCTTTCACCCAAATAGACAATAATTTGTAACTTAATTTCAACTGGTTTTGGCTATTAAAATATCCTCATTTGAATTATCTAATAAACTAAATTTAACATATTATTACTGGAAATAAAATTCCATCTGAGTCAATAGTAAGTCCAACAAAAATGGTAAAGATAACAACCTAACATTTATGATTACTAAGTGCCAGGTACTATTTCACATGCCTGAATATAAAGCTTTTGAAAACAAAGCTTTTGATTCATTTAATCTTTCTAAAAACCTAGAAGAATAACATCACATTTTGAAGATGAAGAAAATGAAGCAAAGTTAAATAACTTGATGATTATACAGCAACTAAGTGATACCCAGGATTCAAATGTAATGGTATATTGTTTCTCTTGGTCAAACTAGTCATAAATGGAATTCTTAAAATGGATATTTTACTACCAGTAAAATAATTCTCTAAAAATAAAGTCCAGCATATTTTATTATTTATTCCTGGAATTTAATTATTCCTTCTCTGTATATTCCGATGTTCATTACAGAAAAATCTTGCAGAAAAAAAAAGTTTTATATTCATAACTTTACATGTTATGTGTGTACTTACTTACCTGGCAGAAACTTCAAAGTTTGCAGGATCTGTCTTTCCTGAGAAAAATCTACCATTAAATGAGTCATGTTGTCGCTGACCTTTGGTTTCAAAGAAAGGCGAAAAGCCGAAGCCATTGTTACTCTATGACAAACACAAAGATATTTTTAAAAATAAAAGAATAAGAATATCAACTCATTTAATTTATAAAAGGACAGGAATGTGTCACTGTATTGATTTCAAAACTATAATAAAGCTAACAAAACCTAAAAGAAATTAGCTCTAAAGGTCTTCTGAAAATTAAGAAAACTGTGAAGTGTTTTCCAGTTTAAACACATCAATATAACCTTAAGGATTTTCCTCCAGTCAGTTTTATAAAACTGCACACAAATGTGACATCACGAGACAAGAATTCAATACAAGTCATCATCAGTGGCCCGCAATCACAAGACCTCTGTACACTCAATCTCACTGACTTCCTGATGCCAGTCTCACTCCTTTTCATTTGCCAGAAAATAACCTGTACATGTGCCCTGATTCACACATTCTCCATAATAATCTCAACAACTCCTTTATCTTCAAATGAGAGCAGAGGTACAATGATCAAATACTGTAGAGTTTAGTAATTGCTAAGATAGTCATGGATGAGAAAGAAGAGATGTGAAATCACTATTTTGAATACCATGCTAATAGGCATAGCTCTGATGGGATAATACAAAGAGAAAGAGCTCTGTGAAATCACATGCCATGAAAATATTAGAATATCAATATATATTTATTAGATGAACGTGGTATAAAAAAAGAATAAGAAGCCATAGCAGACCTCATTTTACCCAAAATATGGGTAAACCGTTTTATCCATTTAAACTGGGAATTAAAAGAAACTCATATACTACTAATTTGTAATTTTATCTCAGATTTTAGCTTTTCATTTTATAGTAAATTTCTGCCAGGATCACAAAGTTAGCACCCCGTTTAATCTTTGGTCAAAGAATGTTACGGAAGTACTATTCATGAATGCTGTCCTCCTAGTACACAATTTGGGAGAGGAAGTAAACAGAGCTGAAAAGAACAAAAGCAATATCAGGTTTACTCATTCATTATCAAATCCAACCTGGCCAGCAATATTATAAAACATGCCAAAATTTCCAAAGTTCAATACAGAAAAGTCTTACTGTATTCAGTCATTTTGAGATTAAAAAAAAGTCAAACCATTGCCATAGTCACTTATTTTATTTCATTTTAATACTATGAAAATAATCACTTTATTTAGTACTAACAATGAGTCCACAAGGCTGATCTATTTATAAAGAAAGTGCTATACTAAAATGCAATATATGGAGAAAGGAACCCACACTTAATGAACATCAAATATAATGCTCAGTATTTCACACAGCATTTCATGTTACTTTAAACTGCTAGTTCTCAATAAAAATTCACATTGTACTAATGTCAGGGAAAAAAGAATATGGATATTGTTCTTTACAGGCTCAAGTATTTTTGATTTGGAAATTTCTGAAAGAGCTATATATATTCAGATAGATACTTAGTAAATGCCCCCTTGATTACTTCTAAGCCTGGCTATTTGTTTGAAAACTGTTGGGGAAACAAAATATTCCCCAAAAAACACATTTCAAAGGTTATCAAAACCAAAAAAAAAAAGAGTCAATAAAAATTCCAATTTCCATAAATCAAGAGATACACAGAATTACTATCTTCTTTCAAAAGACTGAACTTTGAATATATTTATACAACTGTGCCTCAAAACCCAAACTAATAATCTAAAATCCATAGATAATGCTCTACAAGATCCTTCTGGTTACCTATGTTTTACTCCACCATGATTTTCTTGATTTATTTCCAAAAGTATAACTGAATACAAGACTCCCTTCCTCCTACTTTTGCTTTTGCAAAGAGAAAATAAATGTAAAACATATGGATAAACACATTTCCTCAAAACTCTGTAACTGACTGGGTCTCCCTGGTGGCACAGGGTGTTAAAGTCAGTGCTATCAAGCTATCACCAGCCACTGCAGCAAGAGTTCGATCTCTGGCCAGGGAGCAACCCACATGCGCAGCAGACCTCTCTAGTCTTGCCTGCTGCTACCCTCAGCAGTGTATTTCAGTAGATCCTCCTGTTCTGTTCCCCACTCTCTCTCTGGTAAATACTCTCAACACTCACCCCGCCCAGGACCTTTGGCCTAGACCCCACTTCCTGTATGCATAAATAAGTAAATAAAATCTTAAAAAAAAAACAAACCTATGTAACTAACTACACTTCCCTTCATGACCCTTTGTTTCAGGAGGCACTAATTACTACAATAATTTCAACTAATGGTCTTCCAAAAGTTACTAAGTGCCCAGAAGTATATTCTAGTGATCTGTAAAGTACTAAAGATTAGTTATATTTTATCTTTACTTCTATCTTTGGTTTTCCCTCTCATTACCACTGCTCTTCTTGCATAACTTCTATCATAGTAAATGGTAAATGTTGTATTCTCACAGATACATTCATTTTCAGATCTCTCATTTCCTGCTCAAGTATGTTAAACACTCTTTAAATACTATTTCTACCCTCATATAAGGGAGCAATTTTTCTTTCCTTAGTGAAAATGTTATTTTATTATGACTATAAGTTTAATTTTTTTTATTATAAATGGTATTGATGTAATTCTAAAGGTCTGCTTCCTGGGAAAACACCTAAAATTTACAACAGAGCCAGTCAGTGGTTGGCTTAGAAAAAGCAAACTTCACTATAGAATACATCCAGTAATGAAAAATGATCACAAAATTAAATTCTGATAAATAAAGGTGGACAAAGAAAAATAAGTCAGAGGTAAGAATAGCATTCTGGGAAGTACGGAACCATACAGATCCTGGGGAGAGAACAAGAGAAGATGGCAAGGATTCTCGTAAAAAGTTTGGAAAGTCCAATGCCCTAAGAAGTGACTTCTAATGCAGAAAATCAGAGATCACAGCAGGACTTCGTAAAGTAGTTAAATAAAAAAAATTTAGCTAGGGTGGACCTACCTAGCATCATTCCTCATACAGTCAATATTGTTCACCTTTAAACTCTTAGAACCTACTTTTTACATTCAAAATGCAAATGGTCCTAGCTTTTAACTACTCCCTAATTATCCTAAAAATACAAAAATTAATATCGGTGTTAAGAATGTTATGGCATGTGTATTTTGCCTGTAGTCAAATAAAAGAGCTCAAGAGAAACAGAATTAACATCTTCAGGCAAGATCAACAATAAAGATACTGGTTTTCACACACTCCAAAATAAATAATTTTATGAATTATCTTAAGAATAATTTAACCTAGGATTCAGAGTTGTACTTTGAAGAGCTGTGCCTTTCAGAGGATTTCATAATATTCAAAAGATGAAACTCTGAGTGATAATCTCACTACAGTCGATGCTCACTGACTAGCCAGGCAGATCAAAATCATTCCTTCTGTAGAAACACTCCAAAGGCCTCTTTAGTCTTTTGGTGTGTTCATTACAAGTACTAAATTCCCTTTCTTAATCCTGAATCTACCAATGAGAAAGATCTCTTAAGTCAAAATATTTTTTATCATTTTAATTTTCTCTTCTTATAAACTAGGTAGTAGTGGCATTAGAAAAAGATAGAGATGGCACCAGGAACAGGATGGAATGAGAATACAAAGGTGTTAGAACAGCAATGAAGAAGGAGAGCTTCAGCCCTTGAGGACTATTTAAAATGTTGTGACTTCTCAGAAAATAAGACACACTACTCATATTTAAATTTAAAAACCAAAAACGCATTCCAGGAATATTTATTTTTCAATTATTCAAAATGGTTCCCCAACCATTAACACAGCTAATTAAGAACTGTACTAAAACTAACTATATTATACCAGAAATGAAATTCTTTTGAAAGCATACAAATGTCCATGACTTTGTTTTTAAATTGCTTATTCCAGAAAATATACAGATATACAGTAAACATATTTTCTCTTTTTCTGTTTTTGTATTTGGTCCTTAGGTATTTTTATTTTAACCAAAGAGATGCTAATAAGAAACCGTTGTAGAATTTCATTTCTGACTTCAGTATCGATATTTAAATAAAAATGTAGGTTTTATACCATACCTATCCTTGATCTGTCTGGCAGCCTTGGAGCAAATCAGGGAGAAGAGAAAGAAGGCAGTTAGTGCTTTTCATGCAAGTTTCAATGGCAGTGACATGCAAGATAAGTTAGGATATAAACCCTGGAATAGATTAGTTCATAGTCACCAAAATATAAATTACAGGAAATTTGTACAGTTTTGCATCAGTATGAATAATGTGATGTTAGAACTACAGTAGAAAACCCAGACCCCATATAAATCTCCTTAAAAGGAAGATTATTTAACCTTTCAAACTAATTCCAAATGACTATACATGTTTTTTCTTACCTTAAAATTATCAATACACATCACCACTTTCAATCAGTCTGACACTCTTCAACTAGAACAACCAATGTCCTTCACAGGGCACACATTCTATGTATTCTGATGGTGTTCTTTAACATTTCAAATCTGCTCTCCAATTCTTCACAGATCTCTTTCACCACTTCATACTGGTTGTTCCAAGTTTTCTCTATATGCCTTCACTGGGTAAGGACTTTGTATTCTGAGAGTTGCCTGCTAACATATAAAACTAGGCTGCAGTTCTAAAATCCTTTACCCCATAGAATGAAGTTGCAATGGCAAAAATGCAGATGAGAAACAAAGAAATACTTTTAACAATGGGGTCTTTCCCTCAGATGACTTCATAGAAGTTGCCTACTTAACTCTACAGTACATGTCTTTTTTTTTTTTTTGGAGATTGCTAGCACAAGTTTAGGAAGGAGTTATAACTATAACTTGGTGCTGTATAATCATTAAAAAATGAAAACTGCACACAAAAACTGTTGACCCATTTATAAAAAACATCATATGTGCAATAAAATCTCCTTTCTCCCACAGCATAGTTAATAATATATGCAGTCCATGGTTGTTTTGCTCAATATTCTTATATCTACTGTCTCACACAGAGCTTGGCACATGGTAATACTTTAATCATTATTAATGTTAATTGAACATTAGTTAGAAATATATAGCAATGCTTCTGTTGCCTCTCTTCTTCAATTCTTATATTGCTCTTATTTTATAGTGATCATTTTTATACTCATCTTAAAATATTCTGGTCTGAGTACCTTACATAAAATAGCAATTGAGATTTAGGAGATCAGTATATCATACAGTACTAACACTATCATAATCAATTCTGTGACCTTGTATACTATTCTGTTTCTTTATTAGGGAATTTTGGTACTTAATGTTTCTAAAGATCTTTCCAAGCACCACACAATACAGCAAACAACCTAGCACTGTGCTATCTAAAACATGTGCCTTAAGTCAAATACTAATGACAACAAAAATATTAAGTCAATTACAACAATTTTTAAAAAATCATTGTCATTTTAGCTAGAATTGCCAGGCAAAGATTTTAATATAACTGTTAAGTAGAATGAAAGTGGAGACCCTTCTCTGCAGCTAATGTTTCTTTAGGTTTAAAGAAAAGTTCCACTAACATTACTCTCTTAACTGTGCATTAGTCCCTCATTTCTGCTAGAAAAGTGGTATGATTTATCTGATTATGAGTTTGAAATGAGAAACTCGAAATAAGTGGCTCAGCAACTTCCCCTCTTATTAGAGCTTGCTTGTACACACAGAAATTTCTATTTTTGCTCTCTAAGCTCTAAGTTTCACTGCAATAGCCTTCCCTCACCATAGAGATCTGAGGTAGCTACATACTGATGATGCCTGAATGGATAAGTCTAATTCTAGTATTTAATATTAAAAAGCTTGCCCACTGTGCAAATTCTCCAAAAAAATTTTTATCAATATTTGGCCTCTTATCAGCTTTATTATTTATTCTATTTCCTACCTGGTTTAGAACTTGGGTTAGAGGAACGCTACTTACTAGTCACTCTCAAATAACCCAATGCTACAAAGGCCATTACTGATTTTAAAAATGACCATAATGATAAAATTTTGTATCTAATGTTTCTTCATTTAATAAGGTGTCATGTTTTAGTGTTTGTATGCACACTTGCACATATAAACATGCATGCAAAACTGTTAATGTACTAGGATAACAAACCAGAAAAAAATAGCTAAAAGCCAGATAATCTAGGAAAAACTGTTGCCCCATCTATACAAAAATATGTATGTACACCTGTTTGGTAAGCAACAAAAACTGTGGTTGCTCTTTGATTTAGGCTTAAATTTTACCATATAATCACTGTGTAATTGCAGAAGGATGGAATGCTAAAAGGGTAGAAACTCAAATTCTGAAGACATTGTTTAAAATGAGCCCAATTTTAAAAAATGTCTAAAACTGAAGAACATATTAATCTTTTCCTGGAATATATTCCCCAAAGCAAAAGGCATCTCACAGATGCACATTACTATGTCACTTGATGCCTCTAAATTTCAATTTCAAGAGTAACACATTTTGTCAATTAAACATCCCTGTTAACAAATATCAACTGATTTGAGTATTTATCACTGCTCTGTCTCCAATACATTTATTTGCATCTACATAACTCCACTTGAGTTATAAAGAAGTCTCAGGAAATGCTTAGATTTTTAAGTTATGATGCTATGTATTATTGGAAAGTCTTTAAGAAGCACCCACCATGTTACTCTAGTCAACATCATTATTTACCTTCTACTTAAATCTTGTTTGCCAACATCATTTCTCTCTATTCAAATCATAGATGGTCCTTTTCTCTCTCTCTCATTCCTTCCATTCAGTTCAGGTGATTTTAAAAAAATAAATCTTACTATTCTGATTATTTTATACATTATGGGAATCTGTCACCTAGAACCAAACTTCCTTAAACAGAACTGTACTAAAAGTACAACACAAGAGTAATCAAATGGTTCTTCATATCACCAACTAAATATAAAGAAGTTAAACCAGATCTTTTCCCAGTCTTATTTTTAATCTGCAATGGATATAAAAATTATTTTCTTCTGCAAATTTATCAAGTATTTTGAAGGTTAAACATCTTATTGTTTCTATATTTCTTCTTAACAATATCCTCATTTTTCAAACCCTTTACAAAACAAAGTTAGAAGCAAAGTGCACTAAAACAATTCTATTTTTGTTGCAGCTAATTGAACCATCTTTTCTAAACACAGTTAAAATGGGGATAATAATAAAGAAGTTTTAGGGCCTCCCTGGTGGTGCAGCAGGTTGAGCGCAGCGTTGTGAAGCTGTCCGCAGCCTCTGCAGCGCGGGTTCAATTCCCGATTCCCGGCCAACCAAGGAAATTCCCACATAGCGCAGCAGACCTCTCCTGTCTCACCCGCTGCTCCCCTCAGTAGTGGTTCGGTCCGTCCATCTGCCTGTTCTGCTCCCCATTCTGTCTCTGGTGAATTCTCTCACCCTCCCGCGACTCTGGCCTGTACCCCAGCTCTTGTATAAATAAAATAAATCTTAAAAAAAAAAAGTTTTAGATTGCTTGCTGTACTCAATGGATCATCTGCCCAAAGAACAAAATTTGAGATTTCTAAAATCCTCCCCCATCAGCAGAAACTCTGAAACTCTTCAGCAAAAAATGAAGAACATGAGACTAAGGTTTAAGAGGTCTGAGATGCAACAACTCACATTAACCACCAAATCATTTACCTATTTCAGGACTCAGTTACCTCATCTAAAAACTGATGAGTACTTAAGATATCTTCAATCCCTAAAAGTCCATCACAAGCTATTTTATTGGTAGACACTGACTACTTAAAATTACCTAAAATAAATTATACATTTTCAAAAAAATGGTGAAATGGGGAAAACAATAGGGGGGTAAAAGTTAGTTAAAATCAGAACACTGAAAAATAGCAACAAAAATGAGAATACACCTGTTCTGAATAACTGCTGCAAGAAAAATACACTAACATTGTCAAAATGATGAATCTGGCAATAGCTAGATATTAAAACTGGCATTCTTCTGATTTTCCCATTAATTTGAAACAGATACTTTTGTGATGGTTCCATGAAATAATCTGAAAATGATTAAAAGCAAATATTTAATACTGTTTAACAACACACTGAGCTGTCTACCCTTACCTCACCCAGCTACCATAACAAATAACTTCAGAAATCAATGGACTCAGAGAACAAAATTCTTCACTTTCAAAAAAACCCCCACAAACCCTACATACCAGTTTTTCCATATAGTAGAAGTTTTATATTCTCTATATATACACTTATTTATTAAAATTTTTTTTTCAAAGTCTTCACAAAGCCATAGGAAATCACTTGAAATCAATATAAATGCATTGCTGTGTAGATCTGCTCTATGACTAAGTACATTTGTATAAAAGCAGACATTTCTATAACAAATGTTATATATATAACAAATACCCACAAATAAAATAAAGGTTAAATATTATAGTTCGAGCTATTTTAAACAAATATTTAGATTTGGGCCTCCCTGGTGGCCTAAGGATGACAGTCTTCCCCACTGCCTGATTTCTATGCTCAGCCAAGGAGCTAACCCACATATGATGCAGCTGACCTCTCCTGTCTCACCCGCTGTTTCCTCAGCAGTGTATTTCAATAGATCTGCCTGTTCTGCTCCCCACTCTGTCTTTGGTGAAGGTGAATCCTCTCACCCACCCACCCCACCTCTGGCCTATATCACAGTTCTTCTATGCAAAAATAAATAAAATCTTTTTTAAAAAACCAAAACAAATACTTAGATTTGCTTTTAAATTGCCTTCCTAACTGAAAAATTAATGCCTCTGCTGATGTGACTCTTTTCCCTCAGCATTCCTGACCAACCCCATCCAAGGATCTTCCGCAATACCCCTGCTGCAGAAATGGGCTTCCCAACCTCTCTTTATTCCCTCCTCACAGTGATCAGAGCCTAACACTCACTGAACAATATTCCAGTGGTGAGTCATTCTAAGTGAAAGGACAGAAATGCAAAAAACTGTTTTTACTTTTTCGTTGTGATCAAATGCAGATGACAATGTTCCCTTTCACTTTATTCTGTACTTTTATTCCATCCTAGGCACCAAGAGGCAGGTAACCATTACCTCCCTTCTAGTTTGACAGCTGGGTGAGTACTGTGTGCCACACCTGAGATGAGGGGGCTGGCTAGTTACAATGACTTGGAAATTGTTTCATTCCTTTTCATAAGTAGAATTCAATTTCTAAATTTGGAGATGTAGGGTCAAGGATATTAATTTTGGCAAAGGATCCAAGCAGTGTTCTGCAGGCCAGCCTTTAGCAAAAAGCGTAGGTTTTTTATAGGGTTTTGACTACTTGTTCATTCAGAAGTAAAGCAATGACCAGATTTCAATTGCTGGTGATCTTTCTGAATATATTTATTATCATCTAAACTTCCAATGGTTAAAAAAATATTTTTGAAAATATGTTCTAAACTCCTTTTTCACTTGTGCTATTTTTACTTACTTTCAGATTGTCTAATGCTGGTAAATAACTTGATGTTCAACTCTCATGTTGAGCTATACAACATGATCATTTAAATATCAGTACTTAAAATATTCCTACTGAAGATAATGAAGTCTGGAAAAAACTCATGTTTTGGACTTTAGTAAACTGATTTTTTTGGTCCTCATCATCTACCATATTAACCTGACCTAATCACCTTAATATGGACTAGTCACAAATTGTGTATCTTAAAAGAATTTCCTCTTCCAAATATCTAATATTCTGATAGTCCAATAATTAGTCTTCAAAATCATCTCTCTCCCTACTTGGTCAGCAATTAGGTATCTGAAGCAAGAAGTATATAGTCCATGCAACTAGCTAGGAAAGTAAAGTTAATTTTTTACTTGGAATCAAACCATTATCTAGATACAATTTGGCCATACTAAAAAAAAAAAAAATAACTACAAGCAACTCCCAATTAGGCATTTTTCTTAAACAATAAACTCAGCTTTCTGGTTAGGAAACAATGACAAGGGCATTTTACTACATCTCTGAATGGTTTAAGTTACTAAGCTATATTGTTAAACTCTGGAAGAGAAGACCAAAACAGAAAAAGAAGGAAAGTTGTACATTTAAAAAAAAAATATTTAAGGCACAATGTGATCTGTTTCATCAGAACTTTTCGAATCTACAATTGGCTGGGAATAAAGCTGGAAAGGAGAGTGAAAGAATGGTAACCTTTCAGATGAAGGGAACAGAAGGACACTGAAAATGCTAATGGAAAGATATTTGGGAGAAGCAAACTTTTATTACAGTTTTTCTAAAACTCTGTCCTTATTTAAATACAACTTGATTCAACCTATTTTTCAATACTGCAAGTCTTCACTTAACATCCTTAGGTGGTTCTTGGAAATTAGCACCTTCGGTAAAACAATGTTGAAACCAGTCTTGCCATAGTTAATAGATATGAGTTAAATTCCTACAGTATATTTCTGGTCATAAAAATATCACCAAACTTCTAAATAAACACCCAAAACACTTCTAATATAAAATAATAGCATATACTCATTCATTCATTCATGTCATTCGTTTTTCAACTCACTTTTTCTAGTTCAGGGTCATGTGTGGCCAGAGCCTATCCTAGCAGTTCAGGGAGCAAGGTGGGTACCCACCCTAGACAGGACCCATTCCATTTTACAGGGTACTCAACACACCCCCGCTCACTCAAACTGGGACCAGTTAGACACATATGAACCTAACTGGAGTATCTTTGGGGTGTAAGAGGAGACTCAACTCCCCAGAGAAAAGTCACAGAAACACGGGGAGAACTGCAAACTCTACAGTGAGCAGCACTGGCTGGGAATCGGACTTTTTCTTTTCATCAACATTAGGACAAAGTGATATTACTCAAAGACCTGCTGTGTACATACTTTATAGTTTTCCTATCTTTTCCTCATTCTATGGTTCTCAGTTGTTAATCTTGCTGCTATGACTAAGTCTGTCATAAACAGTTGCCCTATTCCACTAGAAAGGGAATCTGTTGGCAAGTAGAAAAAAAAAAACCCTGAAAATTAGTCCTATGTATAAATTATTATACAAGAGACTCTGAGAAACTAGTAAGAATATAAGATACCAACTCTACCCCATGAACTATACTACACATATTTTGATGACAGACTGCTTTATGCATGTTTTAGGTTATATTCCAGATATTTGAGATTATCACATAAATGCCCTCTGAGTGCTCAAATATACTTTTAAAACATATTACATTTCCCTCATAATTGTTTCACATAATAAACTCTATCAAGTAAGCTTGCTAACAATCCACCTCCAAATTTAAGAACTAATCAGTTCACTGTTTTATAGCAATATTACTTATGCTTTGATTCAGTTTCTTAAAAGGAATCAATTTTTAAACATTCAGTTTCAAAATGCAGAAATGTAAGCTAGCAAATATTAGTTTCTTAAGAAAGTTTACCACCTTCACGTTCACAAAATGAAACAACTTGGTGGACACAAACAGATTATTAAACCACCTTCCTAACACTTACCAGATAGTCCTTTAAGAAAATGTAAGAAAATCTTATCTTGATAAGACTTCTGCGTCATAGTATATACTTTGCTAGTTATTTAGATAAAGTTCCTACTTTTTTCACAACATTTTTATATTCTACAACTTTCAGTTTTTATTTGATAAGCTGATAATTTAAAAACAATTCTACTTAAATATGGGAATAAGAATCTAAAATTTGAAATCTCTTAAACACCGGGATCTAAGTTAAAACAGCGGCCTTCATGCACTATTCTTTTTATTTTTGTATCAAACACATTCCTTATATTGAAATATAAGGGCCTACATTTTCATAAAATATTCCAACAATTCTTACATCAGTAGTGGAACATTCAATGACAAATTTAATAAGAAATTTCACTACGTTACCATGCTCATATGTATCAAGGGATGATGTTTTCCCAGTCAATTTATAGAACTGAATATAAAACTAGATTTGTGGAATGCTAATGGCATTCTCAATCTTCTTTCCTTAATATGAAGTGTTTGTAATAAAGGTCTGACTCAGCTAAAATTCACAAGTACCTTTAAAATAAAGACCAGTATAGATGTAACAAAAAAGAAAACCTGGTTCATCAGAACTGAAAATTAAGGAAAAAGTAAGTAATTTGTTCATGATCCTAAAGACACATAATTCTAAGTGATTGCTTTGAAGTAAGCGAAAGAATTCCAAGCCTTTTTTTAGTATTAGAAATAAATGTAAAATTAAAAAATGAAAAGCTTTTTTAAAAAGCAATACTTGGGCCTCCCCGGTGGTGCAGCGGTTGAGCGCTGGGTTGTGAAGCTGCCCGCAGCCTCTGCAGCACCGGTTCGATCCCCGGCTGCTCCCCGGCCACCAGAGGAGGGTCCCACATGGTGCGCAGACCTCTCCTGGCGCCCGCTGCTCCCCTCAGCAGTGTACTTCGGTCCTTCTGCCTGCTCTGCTCCCCGCTCTGGCTCTGGTGAATTCTCTCACCCTCCCGCACTTCTGACTGTACACAGTGCTTGTATAAATAAATAAAAAATAAATCTTTAAAAAAAAAAATTCAAAAAAAATTCAAAAAAGAAATAAATTTAAAAAAAGCAATACTTCCTTTAAAGTAAGATTTGTTTTTGTACCTTTGAAAATTCTTCAGGTTCCTTTATATCTAATGATCGTGTTGCAAATTCTAGTAGTTCTTCAGAGTTCTCCAGGGCATTATTACATTGACTAAGCTGACTCTAAGGAAAGAAAAAGAAAATTAAAATAAAATCTATTATAATCAGAATCTTAAATACATATTGTAATAGTGAACTTACCACTTTATTATCAATAACTGATATTTTAGAGAGCTACTAAAGATGCTAGTCACATATATATTTTAATTATATCAATATATTGTACTTAACATCTTTCCATAATTTGCCCAAAAGAGCTTAACTGCATATACAAATATACTCCATCATTTAAAAACACAAAAGGAAATATAGCAATTATAAATAGCTAGGATAGAACTTAAAGACCATTCTTAATTAATAGTCATGAAACTATCAAGTTAAATTAAAATGTCAAAAAATTCATATGCAAATAACATACTCTACAATAAAGTCTGAACTTCTTGATGATATTTAACTATTTAAGCTGAAGTTTGTGAATCCAGTTATAGGCACATTCAACTGAACACAATCTTACGCCATTTATCATTTTATCATATTACTCAAGTAATGCGTACTATGATAAATGCTAATTTAGCACTCCATGACTGGATAACATAGGAATCACAAACACAAGGGCCTAGGTAAGAGAAAGAATGAAGAGGAACAAAAGATGGTAACTTATTGTGATGGGTCCTTATAGTTACAGTGATACAGTCGTGGAAATGTGCTGATTTCACCTAACAAATCTCTTTCTTATTCAGTTCTCTCTCTCTCCATCATTTGTAAATCTAATATTAAGCTCAGCCATGTGAAAATATTGTCAGTATTACCTTCCAATAAATAAACATCAATTTCTAAGCTTTTAAATTGACCCAACATTCTTCTTCTTCAGAATAACATATATTGTCAAATCTACTTAGCTCTTACGATTCAGCACTAAAGATTAATTATTATTCATTTTATTGGTTTCTATGAGTTCTACTATCTTACTTTGGGGAAGTAAAAAGTTCAGTCAAAATTTGGGCTAAAATAAGTTTTCACATGTTATTCTAAGAACATAATCACGATTTCATAATAATATTGCTCTTTCTATGAGTAAACCTCCTAGGCATTTTAAAGAAGAATTAACAAACTATCATTTGAAATACCCCTTTTGTTGAAGAACTTTAAGAAAGTTTAAGCAAAATCACTGAGAACAAAATGGTAGGTATAATTGGTCTATATAGGATCACTAAGGCAGACTAAGACAATGTAGTCTTAAAGTAAAAAATAGGAAGAAAAATACAGCATTGCAAGGAATCATTAAAAATAAAAGAATCCACACTAAGGTGAAAATTTAGGATAAAGTAATAGCTTATTCTAAGAAAATGGAAGCGGTAAGGCACATGAAAAATGGGAAGAGTACAAAGGAGTATAATTTCAAGAGGACTAACTTACAGAGGAATTGTTAAAATATCTTAACAAAACAATGTGCTGTGGAATTTGTGAATCCAAAGGAAGGACACAGTGATCAGATTTCTCTGAACAAGGAAATGGCATCAGAAGCCAAATTGTTCTTATTAATATCTGATTTTTAAACAATCCCAAGAAAATCTCGTGGTTTGAATTTCCACAATGCTAATATCACCATAGCTTTCCTTCAAATCATAACATGAGAATAACTTTAAGAACAAACAGTTATATTGATTAAGCTTATGTCTCAAGAACTGATTTTATTTTATAACATATTAACCCCTCAATATCTCCTGATTTCCCCTAAGCCACCATTTCTATTTTTTAAAAAACTGCCAAAATGTCTGTGACATTGAGAAGGAAAGGTAAATAAGAATTACAAAGGATAATTGAGCATAAGATAAAAGAAGAAAAAAAGGGATGACTATAAAAACAAAGACCTAAAGTGATGATACAAGGAAGAGAAGATGGTGCTAACATCCTGTTGTCACCACCTCCTAACAGTGTGATGCTGGCATAATGACAAATAGACCAATGGAACAGAATAGAAAGCCAATATGATCAGTGATCTTTGGTAAAAGTGCCAAGCTGCACAATGAGAAAACTACAGAATCTTCAACAAATAGAATGGAATGAAGTTGGAACTTTTCCTTACATTATATATAAAAATTAAATCTAAATGGATTGAAAATCGCTAAGTCAGCCCTAAAAAACTCCTAAAAGAAAACATGGAAGAAAAGCATTATGACACTGAATTTGGCAATGATTTCTTTTTTTTTTTTTTAATTTATTTATTTGTGCATACAAGAACTGGGGTACAGGCCAGAAGTGCAGGAGGTGAGAGGACACACCAGAGACAGAGCGAGGAGGAGAACAGGCAGAAGGATCAAAGTACACTGCTGAGGGGAGCAGTGGGCAAGACAGGAGAGGTCTGCCCCGGCCGGGAATCAAACCCGCACCACAGAGACTGCGGACAGCTCCACAGCACTGCGTTCAACCTGCTGTGCCACCAGGGAGGCCCTTGGCAATGATTTCTTGAAAATGACATCAAAAGTCCAGGCAACAAAAAGCAAACGGGACTATATCAAAATCTAAAACTTTTCCGCATCAAAGAGAACCATCACAGAACCAACGTATGAAGTAGGAGAAAATAACTGAAATTATGTATTTCACAAGGGGTTAATATTCAAAATATGTAAAGACCTGCTACAATTCAACGGCAACACCAAAAACCCCACAAGTTAACCCAATTAAAAAATGGGCAAAAGATTTGAATAACATTTCTCAAAAGAGATATATAAATAGCCACAAGTATATGAAAAGATGTTATAGTTTCAGGGTTTACTTCTCGGTTTTCAATCCATCTAGAATTAATGGAAGCAACCCAAATGTCCATAGAGAAAAGACTAGATAAGGAAAATGTGGTATATAAACACAATGCAACATCACTGTCATAACAAAGGAGGAAATTCTGACACATGCTATTAAGATGGACAAACCATGAGTACACTGATGAGGGAAATAAGCCAGTCACAAAAGGGACAAAATCTGTATGGTTCTAATTACAGTATTTACATAACTAGGGTAGTCAAAACAACAGAAACAGAAGGTACAATGGTGGTTGCCAGGAGGTGGGAGGAGGGACAAATAGGGAATTGTTACTTGATGGGTCTAGAGTTCAGGAATGCAAGGGAAAATGGTTGTAGAGAGCTGTTACAATGTGAATATAGTTACCACTACTGGAAGATATACTTAAAAATGTTAAGAGGGTAAACTTTATATTATGCTTAAACAAGATATCCATGATCAAAACAAAGTCAAGATTCATTTTTCTACACAGTAAAACTACACTTTTATCAGAAATTTACTAATTTTTGCTTCTGATAAACCAAGCACTGAACACTTTTGTATAATCTCACCTGTAACTCATGTGATTTACGAGCTTGTTCCTGCTTGATACTGCTAACCATATTTTCTTTCACCTCATCCAATATAGAGTACAAACTATCAAATTCTTCATCTAACTCTGAAAGTATGTTAGAAGAATTTTCCTGTTTAAAAAAAAAAAAGATGATTTTACTCAAAAGCTGTTAAACAAAAACTAAAGGCAATACTTTTCAAAGGAGAATATAGAGTCATATTATCTAAAACCATCTCAGTCTAACATGATAACAAGAACAAAATTCTAATTTTGACATAAGGCTTAAAAATAGATAAATCCAAGAAAGCTGGCTGCTAATGCTCATAGTAGTACTTCAGTTATGTTTTGAGTTAAGTAGCTTCTTATGAAATAGTCCATACTCACTTCAACTTTTATAATACTGTTTGAACAGGGCACTGTGAAAGGTATACAGTCTTAAGGTTGCCAACTTTGTACAGACCTTCAGACTCTGAGGCAGCCCCTAAGTCAGTGGTTCTCAAACTTTGTTATGTATCAGAATCATCATTGAAGCATTTAATAAAATATTCTACAGATTCTCATTCCACAACTCTGAAGAACAGTTTGGGCATATGAGAATGAGATGGTTTTGCATAAATTTTTAAATCTTTCAGTTCTCTAAAACACAGTATTTACATATGATACACAGAACTTAAAAGACTTAGCAATTCTTTAACAGTTCATAAGAGATTTGTCAAATACTGAATTTTAGTGACATCAGAAGACATTTATTGATTACAATTTATACTCAAATTCCTAAATATTATGAAATATTATGAACTAAAATACTATTGCCCAAAGTTACGCAAGCAGTTACTAGTAGCAGAATCAATAAAGCTTTTCAAGTCTTTTCATTCATCGTCTCCTTTAGCAAAGTACTGCTATTTCAGTAAGAAATGAGTGAAAATATCTGTGAAATCTCTGGGTAAGCAATATCCACAGTTGCAACAATTATGAGATAGAATAAATTATTTTTAGGCATCGTTCATCTTAGCTGAATCAGTCAATTAAAAGCAGCAAATTGGCTCTGGTTAAGAGAATCATTCTGTACCATCTACTGCGATATGATAGCCCAAACTTTTGTTTAAAATGTCTCTAAAAACCAGACATCATCTCACTGGAGTCTGATACCAAAAGAGGTATTAATCATTTTATTAATTTATTTACAATGGTGAGACTAAGCTGTGGAAGAAGGGATGGGTGGACAGATGACCTAAGTCAAAAACCACATGAACCAGTGACAGTGTGACTCTGGACTAGCTGTTTTAAATTCCTAGACCTCCATTTATCTATCCATAAAAAGGAACTGGGCTCTGCCCTCCCTCCAGTAACTGATCGGCAAATTTTTAATTCTCTCTTGGCTATACCTCTCATGACATGAATATAGCTCAATTCCCCCTCTATTTTGCTTTTTTTTCTGGATTCTAAAATTCTAATAGTATGTCACTCAAAAAAAAAAAAAAAAAAAAGAGCTATCTCTACAATAAGGCCTTTTTCCAGATGCCAAAAATGATAATTCTCTTCTACACATCAAAAATATTAGTACCACCAACTTTTTTTGAAGAAAGTGGATTGACCAAATTTTCCAATAAAATAGCTCAACAAAGACAGTTAAAATGGTAAAATTGATAATCAACTAACTTCAATTACAGAAAAATAAAAAATATAGGAGACAGAAAGACCATAAGGTTTAACAGGCCAAGAATCAGGCAAGTATTTAGATTAAAACAAACAAAAGATGAATCCATAGGGAACGATTCACTCTGTCTACAAACTTTCTATACTTACTTCACAAAGAAATGAGCTTTAAATTCACTAATGCACATTCACTGGAAAGCATCACCAGATTATCTTAAGGTTCTTTTCACAACCAACATTTAATTATTTACAATATGAACTATCGCCCAAACCTGGGGCCATACAAGTATTGCTCTCCTTCCTCAATGGGCACTCTACTTTTTACTTCTATGTTTTACTTTTACCTAGTTCTACAAGGAGACCTCTTCCACTACTTGTCATAAAAGATGTGTTAAGTTTCCCAATACTTTATGAAAAGTACAATTTGCTCTTAATTGGAATCAGAAAAGACAAACATAAAATGAAAAGGGACAAAAGTGAACACCATCATATTCCCCAACAACAACTTGCCTCGAGTTTTCTTTTTCTTACTATTGGTTCTATCCGGGAAGAATGCAGGAATATCAAGAAAAACATTTTATTTATTGCCATTAAAAAACCCTACTCTCCCCCATATTAAGTTATAAGCTTGAGTTGATGGATGGAATATATTTATACTTCTGATAAGACCCAACAATCATTCATTGCAACATATTTATATAAACTTTTAAATAAAAAAATCATACCTGGACTCCTTTTAGTGTTTGATTTAGTGTATCAATAAAGTTCTGAATTTCATCATTTTTATTTGCCAGAGTTGAAATGATCCTTTGTAGAGCTTCCTAGGATTAAACAATTTTAAAACATAATATTTTAATTAAAAAATTATAAACTCTGTAAAAATTCTCTAAACAAACTCTATGTAAGAGTGTGTTATATAGGGCCTCCCTGGCGGAGCAAGGGGTTAAGACATAACCTTTGAAGCTATCCGCAGCCACTGCAGCACTAGTTCGATCCCTGGCCAGGGAGCTACCCATATGGCGCAGCAGACCTCTCCTGACTTGCCCGCTGCTCCCCTCAGCAGTGTATTTCAGTCAGTCCGCCTGTTCTGTTCCCCACTCTGTCTCTGGTGAATCCCTTCATCCTCCTCCCCGCACCTCTGGCCTGTGCCCCAGCTCTTGTCTGCATAAATAAATAAAATAAATCTTAAAAAAATATTTGCTAAACATGACAGAAGATAAATTTGTAGCTAGAATTATAGCATTCATTGCAACATTTATTGATGCTGTAGAACCATAAGTAATTTCAGTAGTAAATACCTCAGACTTTAAAAATGTTTCTTGTTTAAATAAAATACTTGGCTATTTAATTGTCTCATACTCTCCATTTTATTGCTGTCCAGTAAAATTTTCTGTTGTAGTGGAAATGTGCTGCCCAATAAGCTGTCACTAAGCCACAGACACTAACGAACTCTTGAAATATGGATAGAACTGAGGATCTGCATTTACTTTTTTATTTAAAATGTATTACATTAAAAAACTGATTTCCCTTTTTATAGTCACATGTGACAAGTGCTGTGATATTGGACAGCACAGATCTAGATGTTTAGTAACTCTTTGTGGGTAATAATAGCAAAATCCAAACAAGGTACTTATATTCTCAATAAAAATCTAAGAACTTTTACTTTACAATTTTTCCAGAAGCATAAACTTGTGTTTGTAAACAACTACAAGAGTAAATATTTAAATTCTTATCTATGAAGTTTTGTGAGAGAAACATTCTTCTCAAAATATAATCAAATACTGATAAAAGGTTATATATAAACATATAGAATCTGATAAGGGGATTAACATTTTATATAAATGTTCATAAAGCTTTTATAGTACTGAAAAATTAAATAATTATAGCAGTTCTCATTTAATTCTCACAGCAATCCCTGGAGATAAGTGAATACATCCCTTCTGAGTCTCCAAATTTAGTCATAGCTTTTACAATGGAGACACAAGTAACTGACAAAGTAGAAAGCCCAGTCAGAAGTCTCAGTGCCTGTGATATACTGTGGACAACTGGAACACCATTAGATGAAGCACCTCTCCTCAAGGCATTTAAACCCACCTGCTTACTTGAAATCTCCACTTGGATGTCTCACAAGCATTTCTAAAATCTGTGTGCCATAATGTCTCCACCAAAACCTGAGCTGTCCTTCAGTGCTCCCTGCACATTGCATTACCAGCTACAAAACCAAAACCCTGGCCCATTGGCTTATATCCTCTCCTCTTTATTTGTGCTCTAGAGTTAGTCACTAAGTTCTGTAGATTTTACCTCCTAAAGAGTTCTATAATCACTCCTACTTAGCACAAGTTAATAACATATCTCAACTTTTACTCTTGCAAAACTTAACCTCTGATCCATTCTTTCTCCCCACTAATCAAGTCCCTATACTGTAGCTAAAGATATACAATAGCATCACTCTTCCTGCTTAATCTTCTCCAATAGTTTACCACTGATCTTTGAATGAAACTGAAAATCTTTAACATACTCTTGAACCTGACCTTAGGGAATCTGTAAGGTGAGCCTGCAGAATCTACCATTGCCTACTTCTCCTACTCCAATTCATACCTAACCCCTCTCTCTTGCTGCATTCCAACTGCAGCAGTCTACTGTGGGCTCCTCTCACAAGCTTTGTTTTCCCACCAAGGAGTTCTCACTTTTAGCAGTTCCAGTGCTATTACCACTGTTGTAAAGCATGCATACAATGAATTGTTAAACAGTTTCAAAAATGTATTTATAGAATGAGTCAACTATTTTATATATTTACTGCATTATCAGTATATTATCAGTCTGATAGTGAAGAAGGGCAAAGACAACTTTCATCTACTCTGTCAACCTGAAAGGATGCCCAAAAGGGTCTCAGATTTCATCTCAGATCTCATTTCCATTACCTTCCAAACACTAATGGACAGTGGCAGATAACACAGATGGATAAAGACAATATAAATGATATGAAGCTTATCTAAATAATATAATTATATTTTGCATTATTTAAGAAAATGCAGGTCGGAAGATATGCTTTGACAAATATCAATTCTGCATTATCATTGTAAAATACAGAGGATATTTCTCAAGAGGAAGTCCACAGAGATTGTAATCTCAGTCATTACCCTTTGGCCAAGTACCACAGTTACCAAGACCTCAAAAAACAAACAACAAAAACAACAACAACAACAAAAATCCCACTACTGTATCAGGATTACGCCTGTCAATTACCTGACAATGGAATTAGACTAACAAAACTGCTATGCTAGCAAGAAAGAGGGTTTTATACACCCCACCTAAGCAAAACTGTGATCATTCCTATGGACTGGATCAAAGTGATTTGGGGAGTGTACAAGGCATCCTCTTTAAAGGAGCACAGCTAAAAATTATGCCTACAGTCATTACAAGTCATGTAAAGTAAAAGCACAACCAACAGACTGAGCAAGAGAAAAATAATACTTTCATATTCTTAAGAATCACTCATTACCTTAAGTCTTTACAAATATAATTCATTTAATACTCTCAAGTACTCTGTGAGGTAGCATACTATTATCCCTATTTTCCAAAGCAGAAGCTGAGAAGTTAAGTTGCTGTTCAAATCTCAGAGTTAATAGGTAGCAGAATCAGGATTGAAATAAAGGCAGTCTGACTGCTGAACCTGTACTCTTTAATTATTACACTGTACAAAATGAAAGTAAAGATCAGAGGGTCATTAAAAGGAGGAGGTCAGAACATGTGTGTGTACCACAAGGACTAAGACTTTACTTCAAGATTAGAAAAAGCTGGAACTGATCAATAGGTTGTAACACATACCACCATGCCAGATAAAAGCATGACAGCTATTCTAACCGTATGCCTATATCATTTTGTAAGTCTGAGAACATGATGACTCTCACCATTTGAAATGGCATGGTTCCACTGGGTTTAGCACAGCACATGTGAAGATGCCAGAATCAACTGTGGGTCTTAACTCTACTGCACCCAATAAAAAACTCTCCCAATTTGGGCCTCTTAATAGGAAACTATCCAGTGTAACAAGAACCTGAAATTATGATGCACACAGAAATTATGATGGTGGCAGAAAACCATTATACCCAGATTTAGATGTTAGTCTAATTAGAGGGCATCAAATACCAAATGGTCATAATTAGAGAAATATTTTGATAAATGATTTCCCACAAGCACCTATTCATACCAGAGAATCTTTTAATTCAATTTCTACATTAATACTCCAGTTGAGATACAGAAATCCAGCAAATATCACTAATCAGCCTACAATTTTGGGGGGATCAAATTATTATTCATTTAGTATTCACTAAGCATTTTCTATGTGCTAGGGACTGTACTAAGCTATTAATATGGAATATTTTTATATTCATAATAACAGATTTTTTTTTTTTTTAAAAAAGGGGGTATATTAGTCTTTCATTGTTATGGTTGAGTAAAGGTAAGGTTGGAGAAGTTAAGCAAAGTGTGTCTGAGATTACACGGCTATCAAATGTCAGTCGAATTAAAATTCAGAAAGCTGCCTCCAGAGTAAGGACTTTTATATGAACCTAGGCTGCTGGGGACTGTACAAAACAATCATAGAATCCCTGTAACAAAGCAAATGGGTAAAGAAACCAGCATATAGCATTCCTGGACAACATCTAAATGCCACCAGAAATCATGCCACTTGCATTAAGACAGACATCGTCTTTTTTTATATATATATATATATATATATATATATATATATATAAATACAGTTTTGGGCCTCCCCGGTGGTGCAGAGGGTTGAACGCAGCGCTGTGAAGCTGTCTGCACACAGCCTCTACAGTGCCGGTTTGATTCCCGGCCCGCCAGGGAGATTCCCACATGGCATGGCAGACCTCTCCTGTCGTGCCTGCTGCTTCCCTCAGTAGCGTATTTCGGTTGTCTGCCTGTTCTGCTCCCCGCTCTGCCTCTGGTGGTGAATCCTCTCATCCTCCTGCGCCTCTGGCCTGTACCCCAGCTCTTGTATAAAAATAAATAAATCTTTAAAAAAAAAGTTTATTTTTATTTACTAACCCTATACATTGTAAATTTAATAAACTCACTTTTAATTAGATATCAAGAGTTGAAATTCAGAAAGCTCTATCTGGCTGGCAAGCTAGATAACCAGAATCTTACTAGTGGACTATAGCACACACTATGGCAACACACACACAAGAGAATTTCACTTGGTGTGAAAAGAAGCTGAAAAAGGAAAATTATGTATGTCGAGGAATTCAGGAATCTGATAAACAAAGTTGTTAAGCAGCAACTTTCTAACAGTGAACAGTTGCGAACAGTACCTGTGCACAAAAAAAAAAAAAAAAAGGAAAGACCCAGTGAGGAAGGCTGCCCATTTGTAAGATAATTGCGTCAGAAGAAAGGGTACTTTCCCATCTAGAATCTGAGGAAATAGAGTGTGTCAGAGGCTAAAGAAGTCTAGTCCATACTCAATGACCTTTGAAACCAGGAATGCCATCTAGTGGAGTTTAGGAAGCTCATATTCAGCCAAGGGAAACAGCTCTCACCAACTGATGAAGGGAGGTGGGGAGGCGGTTGGGGGGATACAGCTGGAAGCAATATAAAGCAACATAACCCTTCGGAAGGGGGACTTAGCAATACACCTCAAAAGATTTTTAAAACTATACCTACATTAACTCAGTAATTCCATTTCTACTAAAGGACTCTAATAATTAAAGCTACAAGAAAGTTTATCTCAGTGTTATTTGTAACATTAAAAGATTGAGCTCAACACAAATGTACAACAGAAAGGTACTGATTAAAAGTACAATATTCACGCAAAAGAATTCTGCTGAATCATGAGAAGTGCTGTAGAATGATACTGAATGGAAAAACATAAAGCAGCATATTAAGTGAAAGGTAAATTATAAAGCAGTGTACACAGCATATTACCACAATTTTTTAGAACTATTATATGCATTTTTAAAAGATTGGAATGTAATACATAGAAATTTTAAAAGAGGTTATCTCTTGGTGGCAGGATTATGGGTGATTCTTTATTTTGATTTATCTATAGCTTCTATTTTCCTGCAATAAACTTGTTTTACTTCTATTTTTATGTAACAAAAGGGCACAGCTGGCTATGTTAACCCTTTATTATAAATTAATTCAAAATATAATTAGCTATCAATCAACAAGCATCAATAACTGAGACCAGATTCTATCAGATCTTCTGGCCGGGAAGGGGGCCAACTGAGAATATAAAAGTATAAAGTTAGAGACAAAACTCACAAACTTCAAAATACTGTCTATCCTAGGTTTGAGTGGAATAGCTATCACTATGGCAAACATTCAGTATGTGTTTACTACATAAATAATTCTGTTTACATGAAACCAGGAACTGCAAAGAAGCGTTACATTAAATTAAAAAAAAAAGTGAATCAGCTTCACTGTATTTCTAATTTGTAAAAACTGCCATGTTCAACAAAATACAGACATCTATATTTAAATACAGTGATCGTGAGCATGTCAGTATGATGTTTATTTACACTTTCTTGTTGCTCAACATTAGAAAGCTAAGACCCCCCCCCAAAAAAAAAAATGAGAAAGAGCTGGCAATGAGGGAAATACCTATATGAGAGGAAAACTGATTTTTTCTGGAGCAAGGAGAGACCAAATTTTAGATTTTTATCTAAATCATGTACCATACCATATATCAATTATGTTCAGGAGACTTAATTAGCTTTGTAAACAAACAGACACTACTTCATAGAGGTTTATTATCATTAACATCTTAAGTTTTGATTACTTTAATCATGCACGTAAAGGCAAAAGACTCAGGAAAGATGGATGGTAATGAAAAAAGGCTGGGCTGTGAAGAAAGACCTGGTGTGAATCCAAACTACCACTTGCTAGCTGTGTGACTGAACAAATCACTGAACCTTTCTGTGCTTCATTTTCCTTCTCTGTGCAACCTGAATAAGAGCTATTTAAAACAGTCTAACTATGTTGGATGCAAAACAATGTTCAAATTTCAATTCATTTCTCCTTTCCCCAGGATTTCTTTTTTAACTGGTAAGTAATTTTGAATATGAGACCATGGGTTATCTGGATATGGTGGAATTCTTTGAACTGCTAGGACATGATACGAAAACAAAGGAGAACAAATACAGGGTAGAGAAAGAAATAAAGGATAAAGAAGCCAAGAGTAGATATGCTCTTTGCAGCAGGTTGTCAAGTTTTAAAACTATCCTTACTCAGGTCAATCTCCTCATTCTAGATTGTCTAGTCTTGTACAAGCAAGCCTAGCCTGTCACTAACCCTTTCGAATTAAAAAATAAAAAATACTCAGGAAAAAGTGGCAAAAGCATGCAATGAACAAAGTAAGCTCTTGGAGACATCCTTCCTGTTGGATCCCTTCTCCCTTCCTCTCCACCTTTATTATGCCTACAGCATGTACCTTTCCTAGAAACAGCAACCACTATTAATGTGTGAATGATCTCCTGTACAACAAATTAAACTATCAAATTCCAAGTGCCAAGATTCTAGAAAGGTGCAATGTCTTATTTGTTTCAATGTTGTCTTTGAACATAAACATTTGATCAAGTAAAGAAACCTTTGGGATTTTATCTTAAAACCATTTAAGGGCATAATCAAAAGGTCTGAGTATCAAAGAAAGGCACCTATCCATAACACATCCTGTTCACAAAAGTGTCCCAGAAACTCAATATAAACAAAAATCCCTCTGTTTATTTCTAGGCAATAATACTGTGGTTTTCTGTATCCAACAGTATGCCTTACATACCCAAGGCAATTATGTTTTCTTCCTCTGCTCAAACAGAGCATCTGTTGCTAACACAACACTGAAGCCCAAGTTATTTTCACAGACAAAAAGGCAGCTGGTCAAGCTAATCCATTTGCTGACTAGCCACCATCAAGCTTCTGTAAGACTGCCCAGTTAACTTAGCCTCTATTGTCAGATCCCATGAGTCAGAACTTGCAATCCTCTTTCGATTGGGATTTAACAACTTTTTTGGCACCATCATTTGAAATCATTTATTATAGACATAAAAACAGAAAACATTTTTTTTAAAAAATTAAGGACAAAGATAAAACATGGCTAGACCAGACTCAAAAAATAGTTACACAGATTATCAATGAAAGGTCAAAGTATTTTTAAATTGGGATTATGAAATAACAATACCTAACAGACTGTGCTAATGTCTGCCAGACACTGTTAAGTGATTTTTAAAAATTAATAAGATCCTCACAATAACCCTTTGAGTTAAGTACAATTCATATCTCTATTTTGTACATGAGGAAGTAAGAGTCACAAACAAATTACCCAAATTCATTCGGCTCATAAATAGTAGGACGGAAGACCTGGCTCCAAAGTATGCTTAATAATTCAAAGCCCAAATCCCAATGCCTTACAAATAGGCATATATTCAATCTCTCTGCCACTTGCAGTAATTAACCATATTTGTTGCACTAAGTTACAATTCTTCTGACTATTCTGTTTATAACATTCTATAGTAGGGGGCCTCCCCTGGTGGCTCAGCGGTTGAGCCCTGGGCGGTGAGGCTGCTGGTTCCCCGGCTGCCGGCGAGGGTCCCACAAAAAAAAAAAAAAAAAATTCTATAGCAGGAAAGAAAAGTCATGCCAGTGGTATACTACTTACTGTCTTAAAGAGAAATAAATATCCAGTTTAGTTCATTATTTATTGACATACACAACTAATTCTGTAGCAATGCACGACATAAGGATGCTTAAATTCTAATCACTAAAGAGGTTATGAGCATTAACACCAAATACTGGTTTTATTCTATAAAACAAAATAAAAATGTTCTAATTAGAAAAATTATTTAATACCATCAATAAATTTCAACACATTTTCTAATATGGAAAAGTTAATTCTCAGAAAAAATTATCACAAATAAGGTATATCAGTGCCAATAAAAAAGAATAGCTAATTCTTCACTACCTCAAATGGCACACCTGATGCTTACTGGTACTCAAATACATCATTTGGAATGAAACCAAGTAAGTTCAGATCTTAGCCCTATAGCTAAGAAGTCAAAATCTCTAACTCCTGAGTTCTGTTTAAAGTGAGGGATAATGCATGCCTGAAAAAATAAAATAATCCATATTAAAATAAATTTTCATTATACTTTATAGCAGAGCACTTGTGCTTATTCTTTGTAAACTTTAAAACACAATATTTTCACTCTGAATTACTTCACCTCATTTTTACAATAACCCTAGCATACAATCTTACCTCCACTGCAGAGGAGGATTTGCAGTTAAGTCCTTTGCTCCCGAACACAAAGTTACTAAATAGCAACATGAAACCCAAGTTGCTAAGACACCAAGTCTTTGCTCTTCCATTTGCCCTGAACTTCCCATTCAGATATCACATGACTTTTATCTAAAACGTTATATAAAGTGTGAAGTGCCTTACAAACTTAGGCAGAAATATTTAAACAACCATACAAATTCAGAACACCCGAAATATAATCTTAAAAAATGGCCTACCCATAGTCATGTAAAAGTATGCCCAATTGGGTTTGAAAATGCACCACACAATGAAACCATGTGCACTTTGGTTAAATGGCAATAGTCCACACATAACACACCACTATACTATTCGTCATGCCTCCACTGCTCCCCAAGGAGACAATTCCAGGCAAAACCATAGAATATGTGGTTCCAGTAAGTCCTTCCAATGCTTTCTATCTAATAATAGAAAAGAATGGCCTCTTGGATAGGCCCATGTTTTTCCCTGCTACATTATTAATAACTCTTATTTTTCCTTCCCATACTGCGCTATATTACAATTACACCATAATCTAACAAAGAGAACAGGATGTTTGAATTTTACATAAGAATTACCACTGAACGTTAATAACTCGCTTTCGATCAAAACATTGGCTACGTTCTCTAAATATTTTTTTCTTCTTTAAAACAGCTAGTTCTGCACATCCTTTCATTAACTTATTCGGAAAGTACAAAGCACACGGCACAACCACTAAAGTAACTGAGACCAGCAGCACCCAACTGGTCAAAGAGGGTGGCATTGCTACCCTGACAACTCTTCCATCTTTTCATTCAGTTCAACAAATAGGAAACCCTAAGATCTGCTGAAGAACTCGGGGGTGGGGAGGGCTTGCAGGGGGTCACACAAGAGGGAGTGGTATTAAGTAGAATTGATTCCCGACCTAAGGAGCCAGTATTGTGCGAAAAGAGATGTCTGGGTGAAGAAAGGGTGGGAGTTTCAGCAGGGTGAACCCATATGCCTCGGTTTTCTCATCCGCTGAGGACAGACAAACCCGCTCCAGGACGATGGGAGGCTGCGACCCTCAATGGGGGCCTAAAGCACTGCAGAAAATAATAGATAAAAAAAATTGGAGACGGCTCCCTTTTTCTCCTCTGCAGCCAGGGCCGGGGACCAAAGGCAGGACAGGAGCCCGCCCGGAGGGGGCTCATTCATTCTCGCCAGGGAAGAAGGCCGAGCAGCCTCGCCCTGCGCCCCAGCAGCCTGGCCGGGCCTGGGGCGCCCGGCGCGCCCACCGCCCACCACGCCGGGCCCAGCGCCACGCCCCCCCCCAGCCGGGCCCCGCGGCCCGCGCCCCTCTCCCCCGCTCACTTTTTGGGCGTCCATGGCCAGGAGCGAGGTCCGCAGGGCCCCACACTGCGTCGGGAGGCTGACGGAGGCCGGACACGCCGAGACCGCTACCCAAGACCGCCGCTCTCCTCCGCCCGCCGCTGCCGCCCCAGGCTCAGCCTCAGCCTCAGCCTCAGCCCGCACCGGCGCCTCCCGGCGCCGCCACGCCCCGTCCACGCCCCGTCCGCGCGCGCGCCGTAGCCGGAGCCGCGCCGCGGTTGCCAGGGTGAAAGGGCGGCGCGCGGAAGGCGGGGGCGAGGAGGGCTCCGCGCCTGCGCGCTGCGGCCGCCGGAGGGATGGGGTCGGGGCCGGGGGCACGTCGGGTACCCGGAGGACGCAGGCGGGAGGAGGGCGTGCTCGGCCCGTCGTCCCGCGGGTCCATGGGAGGAACCTCTCCCTCCCTCCCCCATCCTTTTTCTCCACGCACGCAGTCGCTGCCAGTTGGAATGGACCACTGGGCAGCCAGCAGCAGGGCGGTGGGGAGGGCACGGGAAGGAAAGCTCTGGCCCAGGAAATAAATCAGATTCCTCTCCATCCCTCAAGCATCTAAAGCTCCTCTGCGCACAGGCCAGAGGGAGCAGCCGGGCTAGATCAGGCCCAGCTGTGTGGTGAGAAGGAAAGGACCGGGCCGGGCATGCAGTGGAATCATGGGCAAGGCCTATAGGAACGTGAACAGACCCCAGCCTGGTAGACCTTTTCCAAAGGGCCTTCCTGGGCACCTTGCTATCTGAGTGATTTTCAGCTAGTCTCTCCCTGAACCTTTTTCATCTCCAATAAAATAAGAGAAATGATGTTGACCTTGCAGAGTACTGTGAGGATGAAGTGCCTAGTGAATAGTTAATGTTCTATAAATTATAGTTACTGGTAGGGAGCTGGAACCTACCGGGTCCAAGTTGAGGGACTAGTGTGAACTTTAGAAGACTTGGAAAGGTAGGCTTGAAATAGCAGACAAAGCCCATTTCCAATTCCGTGACTCGAGAGTCTCAGAAAAGTTTAATTGGACAATTGTTATAGGACAGGGAGAGGGGCAGCCCAAACCCCACAAACCTGCCTATTCTAAATGGGTTCGGCCATCCGCCGCATCAACACAAAACACATGAGAGTAATGGGAAGGATCTTTAATAAAACTAGGAAACAATACAGGAAAGGCAAAGAGTCTAGTTTCTAAATGAAGCACCCAAAGTTACCCGTCCCCTCGTGGGTAAAACTCCATCCATATGGGATCGGCCCAGAACAAGGCCCCAAAGCCTGCTACAAGTCTAAAGCATCTTCCAGTGGGGACCCACAGAAAAGGGTCACAAACAACCGGACAAGCCCGGAAGGAAAAGAGCAAAATCAACATCAAGATAAAAGCTGCCATTGTCACCTCCCCACGGGTCTCACCGACATCTGTGTCACCCAGTCCACGACCAAAAGACAAGCGCAGTTTCTTCACGTGTCTCTAGGCTCCATGTGCCTTCTCCAGGTCTCCTGGCTCCATCCTGCTTCCTTCCTCAGTCTCTTCTTCTGCTTCTCCTCTTCCTGCTCAGCTCCACCCTCCCTTGGGTGGGGCAGGGAACCTCCCCCTTTCCTGGGGACCACCCTGTTACACAATCACTTAAGAGAATGAACAAAAGGGAAGTTTACATCTTGGTACCAATTCCACAAGCAATTTAGCAATAAGGTCCTGCTCTCGCTGAGCTTAAAATCTAGTATGGGAGGCTGACAAAAATAAATGAATAATGTGAGATAGTTAGAGGTGCTATAAAGTAAAATTACATGAGGTAAATGGAGTCATAAAATTGAGAGGATGCCGTTTTCCATGGGAAGGACTCTCTCAGGAGTGACCTGAGAGAAGTGAGAGAATGAGTCATGAAAAGCTCTGGAAGGAACATTCTAGTTGGAAGAAGCAGAATATACAGAGGCGGGGAGGAGACAAGGAGGTCTATGCTTGACAAACAGTTTATCTTACAGTTCTCTAATCGCCAACTATATTGTAATTTCTTTGACGACTGAGATTTCTTTTACCCATATCTATGTCCCCAGCACAGGACCTAACACCTAGTATACACTCAATAAATCCTTTTCAACTGGACAGAAAAGAAACAGAATGGATGGCACAAAAGGGGAAACAACAGCTGGTTGAGTAGGTAATACTTGAAGTTCAGGGAGAGTCTATACCCAGTTTTTCTCCTGTCAGCTGAAAAGAGTAATGGCATTCAGTCCTGTAGAAAGGTGCCCCCTCTCTTAGTACCAAGGGAAGGAACCATCTATCCAAGCTGTTCTGCTTTCATAGAGCAGGGGGGACAGACAGGCACTCAGCCCCTGGGGCACTGCTGCAGCCACATCCGTACATACCAGCCCTTTCTCTGTATAGAAACATTTTGCAGCTGAGTCATTTTCCCAGGAGGAAGAAATGCAGCCAAGCTATTGGACAGCTGCAGAGGTCACACCACCCAACTATTGGCTTTCCATGCCTAGTACTGTGGTACCCACCACCAAGAGGAAAAAGCGGCTGTCCCCAATTCTGCTGCTGCGAAGACCTCACCTCACTACTTGTCAAAGGACAACTCCTGGGCACTTTAAGGCTGTGGACATAATCAGAGTAGGAGGCCGAGAGAGGTTTTGGAGACAGTGAGTTGCAGCTGAAATGTGATCGCCAGGCTGTACCACAAGGCCAAATCCCAGGATCTCACTCCTGGCTCCTGGCTTCCTCATCTCCACGCTGGCTCCTGCAGCCCAGCCAGGAGCTGTGGCTCTTGACAAGAACTCTACCCCATTTGACTTCTGCCCTCACCAGATCTCTTTCTTTGGCTAGTCTGTCTCCCTTGCCCAGCTTACCGTGAGCTGTCCGCTTTCTACCCAACCAGGAATAGCTAGTTTCTTCTGGCTGTGACTTCTATCTTCCCCAGCCCATTAAGACTCTCCCAGACCAGTCCCTTAGCAGGCAGGGCACCCCCAAAGCCACTCCCAGTGCTTTTAGCTTAAGGGTACATCCTCTGCTTTGTCTGTACTTAACTTTTCACAGCTAAGCCAGTTTAGACATTTCCCAAGTAGCTTTACTAATAAACTAAAAATTATGTAGTTCTCAAATATAATCCCCAAACCAGCTGCATCAGCATCATCTGGTAACATCAGAAGTGCAAATTCTCAGGCCTCAACCCCCGGCCTAGTAAATAGAAACTCTGGGTGTCGGGCCCTCGCATCTGTGTTTTAACATATCCTCTAGGCATTTCCAATGTTTGAGAACCATTCAACTAATAAGAGAAAGCAAATTACTAAGGGGTAAAAAGAAACTACAGAGGCATAAAAACAGATGGTGTTTTAACTCTTCGATTTCTGATTCTGAGTGAGTTGATTGACATTTCTGGGCCTCTAGGACTGCCTTTCTGAGGAAATCTTAAGTTAAAATAGCCTCAGTGTTGGCACTATTGATGTAGAGTCTGGCAAAATTGTCTTTTCCAAAACCAGGTTCTCTGTCCTCTCCTGTCAGGCATTACCTTTAGCCCTGAGTTCCTTCATAAGTTCTGGGCTTTCCAGTCTCTTGGGAGAGACTGGAAAGAGTGTCACTACCACTTCCTGTTACCAGCTGTGTAGCCTTCAGTGAGTGATTTAACCTCTATAAGCCTCAATTTCCTCATCTGTAACATAGAGATTCTAATAGTAATTCCTGGTTAGGATGGTTGTGAGGATTAAAGGAGATTAAGTATGCAAAATGCCTGGTTTACTATGTTGTTAACAACTGTTACTGTTATTATTCCCTTGCATGTTATCCTGCGGCATTCTAGTTTGACTTTTCCCCCCTCTCAATTTTTGGGGGACTGAGAAGTCCTATTCTCACCTCTGAACCCCCATTCACTGTTATACCTGTCTTTCCTGAAGTATAATCTCTGGTGAGATGTTTTTCTTTGTTGTAACCCCAGATCTTCCCCCAGGGTGCCCTCTCAATATCTGGGCTGAGTCTTAGTGTATGCCACCTAGTTGAGGAGAGCACTGAGCTCTTCTAAGCCCCAGCTTCTTTGGTTGGGAAATAGGCAACATAACACCTGCCAGAATTGTTGAGTGGATTAAATGAGATAATTCATGTTAAGTATTTAGCACAGTGGCATGTAATAAGCATTCAAAAAATATTATCACTTGTCATCTCTTCCCAGCCATATAACCTAACTAATTTTATTCCCTGCCCTCTTCTGACTAAAACCCAAACTTCCCCGAAGTCCTGGAAATCCCTTGGAACTCATAACATTAGTTTCTGAGGCCAGGAAATCATTTTATATAAATATATAAAAAACACTATATGTATGTATATATATATATATATGCACTATAATTGTCATAAAAGTGAAAGCATGGTTCTGTCTGATGTGGGCTGACTTCCTTGGGATGATCTACCCCACATTTGAAGAATTCTAAGGAAAGCAGGAAGTGGTTGGTGGACACAGATCTTATTGGTAAGGGACCTGGAAATCATGTGGGAGATGTTAAAAGCACCTGTGAGTATTTTAGTCTGCAGATGAAAAACTTAGGGAGAACATGGCATTTACTTCAAATCTCTCAAGGGATGTTGTGTGGAAGAGGAAGCTGACATTCTCTAGCATTCCACAGATATAATTAGATCCAACTGGTAGAGGCTACAGAACAACAGATTTCCCCTCAACAAAAAAATCCAACTTTCTAACAAAACCTTACAGAGCTGGAATGGAATTTGTTTGATAGTGAGGTCT